CATCAAAGGAAACCTTTTTACATTAGTTTAACCACTGCACCACGAGGCTCTATTAAGTACTTTTGTAGTTTTTGTTTTGGTGTGTCTCCCACTGCCATCATCAAGAAAATTGCTAATTTTGCAATATGTAAACCACAGAGATCACAAAAAGAAACAGGGTTCGTAACTCTATGTGTGGCCTTTTTTTTAAAGTTGTCATTAGAGATGTCATTCTCCCTCCTCCACTTGGCAATGTACCTAAGTTGTCTAATGCCAAAACTGAATTGGAACTGAAGAAAATTGGATGAAGCTGTTGGATACATGTACAGTGTCAGGGGTGCAGCACACACAAAAGTCTGTTAAGTTCTAGAAGGTTCATACATGTTTTGTGCAGGTGCAAGAAGACCCTTATGTGTGAATTCAGATGACCACTAAAAAACCTGAAGTTACAACATATTCATGCAAATTTATATAAAGTCTATGTAACACTATCCAACTATGTACAGCAATAGAATTGAGGCACAAATTATATGCATAGCGAGAAGTGCAGTCTTGCTTTTGTCTGGATATCAGAGGAATAAATGTCTTAATGTTGAAAGAACAGTGTCCTTTGACACCTTAAAGATTACATTTATTTTGAGATGCTATTTCCTGCCTTCAGACCCCTTCATTAGATGTAGGAAGTGTTACCCTCCAGATGTGTCTGACAGAGTGGGCTTTGTCAATAAATATGTGCTTCAGAATGCCACAAGATAGTCGTCACCCCTTTCTGGTGGATTTGGTGTGAAAGAGATCTTCAGAAGATTGATATAAATGGTTCCTTTTGATTCAGCATTCTCAATGAGTTCATGTTATAGTTGTGCATCAAAGAAGGTAGCTAGGCTATATGGAGCCTAATCTTGTTTTGGTTGCTTGCGCCCTTTATACAGTATCTAGGAGACTAAGAGACCTCTGAGTTAGTAGTATAGCTTTCCTACTATACTATTCTACTCCAATAGTCTTACTTAAATAATAAAACCCTAAATATTGTAACACCTCTAAGCCTAATAAATCTATTTCACTGGGCGTTTTTCTTCCTCTCATTCATTTGAAAGTGAATAATTTATAACAGCCGCACACATTTCTTCTTCTTCTTTTTAACCAATCAAGTAAATATAAATATTGCCAAACTTCAATGAAGCAACTTTGGAGTACATTATAACTTATGTACAGTGGTGCCTCGCTTTACGATTGCCCCGCATTACGATGAAACCGCATTATGACGATATTTTTGTGATCGCAATTGTTATCGCAAAATGATGGTCTGAATAGGGGTTTTTCACTTTGCGATGATCAGTTCCCTGCTTCGGGAACTGATTCTTCGCAAAACGATGATTTTCGGACAGCTGATCGGCGGTTTCAAAATGGCCACCGGGTAAATAAAATGGCTCCCCACTGTTTTCTGGGATGGATTCCTCACAAGACAGCCACCGAAAATGGCTGCCCTATGGAGGCTCTTCGCTGGACGGTGATTTTCCATCCCATTGAACGCATTGAAGGGGTTTCAATGCATTTCAGTGGGCTTTTTATTTTCGCATTACGATGTTTTCGTTCTACAGTGATTTCGCTGGAATGAATTAACGTCGTAATGTGAGGCGCACCACTGTAGTAACAAATTGCTATGGTCCATTATTGGAAGGAAAATCCATATTTAATATTTTCTTTTATAACACACTAGAGCCTAAATGTTCTCATATTTGTAAAGGCACATCTTACTTTGAACAAAGAATAAAAATTATCTTGCTGGAACAGTATAGTAGTATAGCTTTCCTCACCCACAACCCACAAATAAAATTGCCAGGAATAACTGTGGATTCTGCCCATACTTATTGATGTATTTGGTTTCACTGTCTGATTGTGATGGGTTCCAACTCCTTGCTTTGAGAGCTAAACCATGGATGACTTCTGTGTGTCTGTGTCTGTTTACATGTGCCTTTTGTTGCATGGATGTCATTGGACAGGCACTTAAAGAAAAGTCCAGAGTCTATGTGCACCTGTTTCTGTCTGTGTCTCTGGAACATGTTTTGTTACTCTAAAAAAGAATCGAAACATTTGAGAAGCAGAAAGATACATAGGGCATAAAATACAAATAACATTGTCACCCTTTTGTTCTATAGCATTGGGTTCTGCAGGAAAAGGAAATCGTCCACAGGATGGTGGGACAGACTATAAAACACCCATGGGTGGTAAGTAACATCTTTCATTTTGGTAACAGCTGTAATGCTGAGACAGTTTAATGTTTCCCAAGAAAAGTTGGTGGGTCATTTGTGGAAGACTTACTTTGGAACAGAAATACCCTTTTGAAATTCCTGGCAGTGCAGAATATCTGTATAGCACAGCATAGATATTTCTTATAAGTTTTTTGCTGTAAAATTTTATGAATCTGCTTACTAAGATTAAGTTCCCTTAGAGTCAAAATTTCAGGGGTCCACATTTAATAATAAGTAATCTTTGTGCTCTTTTTTAGGAAGTAACAGCCCTCATGGAAGTCCTTCTCCTCTTGAGTACAATATGCTTCTAGTAATCATTGTGTCTGTTGGAGTGATAACCATTGTAGTAGTGGTGATTGTTGCCATCTTTTGCACTCGGCGCACCACCTCCCATCAGAAAAAGTAAGCCATTGCAGAAGCTTCTTTGTTCTACCACTTGAGAGTGTGCATTTAATTTCTCATAGATGTCTCGTTCTGTTTAATATGTGTAAAAGAAATAACCTGCATATTTTTTGTGTGTAAATGTGATTTTAGAAATCTGGTAGTTCAAATGAGGTAAACCTCTCTGCTTTTTGAGCGGGTGGTTCAAAAGAAAGCAATAAGGGATTAGAATCAACAAATACAGCATAACATGGAGGGGGGGCTATCCATGGAATAAAGGTATTTCCATAGACAGCTACATGGTACAGTAGTTGGTTAGACTGCATGAGGAAAGAACCGAAAGTAGCTTTATGACTATCCACAAAACCTTGAGGTTTTGTCTTGTCATTTTCAAAGGAAGCGTGCTGCTTGCAAACCTGTGAATGGGTCTCATAAATACAAAGGGAATTCCAAGGATGTTAAACCACCTGACCTTTGGATTCATCACGAGAGACTGGAACTGAAACCCATTGATAAATCTCCAGATCCCAATCCAATCATGACAGATACCCCAATCCCTCGTAATTCCCAAGACATCACACCCGTTGACAACTCCATGGACAGCAATATCCATCAAAGACGGAACTCATACAGAGGTGAGTTTAGGTGATACCAAGCTAAAATTTAATCTGACTGTTTCAAGCCTTTTACTAGGATGCTTAATTTTACATCTGTTATTTGACTGCATCACAAAAGTCAAATTAATAGTAACGTATATTAAGTGAAAACAGAGAATCACCTGGAGCAAATATGCACAAAATTAGAGTTAATAGTATTGTGTGAAACACTTAACAGTTTATTGAGCAAATCTATTCTGGTTTGGAAGAATTTAGGGAGCAATCACCACCACTAACCCTTTTTTAATGAAATTTCTGAAGAAGACTAAATTCTTATTAAGAGTATGTATGGAGGAGGAGGAGGAGGAGGAGGGAGGCTTGGTGTCTGGCATGAGACTTTTTTTGTATTAGTTGTCAGAGTTTTGTGCTTGCTGATGGGGATGTTATGATGATTGTAAAAATTATTGTATCCCATATTCCTTATGCTTCTTTTAGGGCATGAATCAGAGGATAGCATGTCCACCCTTGCAGGAAGAAGGGGAATGAGGCCAAAAATGATGATGCCATTTGATTCTCAACCTCCTCAGCGTAAGTCTAGCCTTGGTTATTACTAGAAAACTTAAAAATATATAATTCAACTCCATGTTGCATGGGGGTTGTGTGATGAATGTTAGCTAAATCTTTGTTCTATGTGAAATGTGTTTACTGCTGGGAAAATTCGGAAAAGAAATGTGTAATTATCTTATTGTCATGAAAATAATGTAAAGATTATAAATACTTAGTGGCCTGCCAGCATTGAACCTAATAATATTTCCATGCCAAGTTAGTATGATAAATTGATGTCAAATTGAGTGGTATGCTAAACAGCCCTTAGGCAAAATAGCATACATATATTAAATGTTTCTTAGCACTTTCTTTTTGTAGATTTAATGTTAATAATTTAAGCAGTTATCCATTTAAAATTAATTTCTGAAGATAGGTAGCCTTCGCATAGGTTGAATTATTGCAATTTTTGTAATACAATTAAATGTGATTTGTGAAAACGAAAAAAATAATAATGGGGAAATCCTGTTGTGTAACTTTGCATCTGGCACAATGCAGATCAGATGCTGGAAACATTTAATTTATACGAACTAAAAGCTTTGCTGTTTCCCCATTTTTGGTTCTGAGGCTTCCTTTGGCTCTCTTTTCTCCTGGAGAAATCTTTAGGGGCCTCAGAATGGGGAGGGAAAACTTAAGTAAAAAATCTCTACTAGATTGGCACAGTCCTCGTTCTTGTGGCAGTGCTCCAGCAGTGATTTTGACTTTTAAAAGCTCATACCAGCCCCTAAGGCTCCCAAGGTCTTCTAGGGAACAAAAGGGAACCCAAGGGGCCTCAGAATCTAAAATGGGGTGAGGGGAGAAACTTTAAATACATTAAATGGAACTACGGGGATGGAAGGGACCCTCTGGATCATCAAGTCCAAGAGGCCCAGTGGAGAATTGAACTCCCAGCCTCTAGCCAGAGACCGAAACCAAATATCTCCAGTGCTCGATATGAGTTGCTCCAGGTGAAAAGTTACACAATTGGATTTTGACTCATGAAGAATAGTACAGTTTTCTTGCCATATTTAAAATAAGAAAATTCCATCACCTTCCATTTAATTTTACTGCTCTTTTAGTTGTGTTAGTGACTAAGTGACAGTAGTCAAGCTGTGGTACTTCCAGTTCCACATTGTCAGGAACACCAAGTTGGCAATGGCTAGCTAGTGTTTGCAAGTGTACTCCCTTTTACTATTGGGGAGAAACATTTTCAAGATAAGAATACGTTGCGTAGGGTCATGTTCTAGTTGTTGGTGGCAATCCGTTAATTGCAAGAGGGACTGGTACACTCAGGTGCTCTTTATGGAGCCCAAATTGAGGCAGTTAATAGCAATCCATATACAGTGGTGCCTCGAATAGTGAGGTTAATCCATTCCTCAAAAAACCTCGCTATTCAAATTCATCGCTATTCAAAACGTGGTTTCCCATTGAAATGCATTGAAAGCCAGCTAATCCGTTCCAATTCGAACGAATTGCCATCGCTAATTCAAAACGTGGTTTCCCATTGAAATGCATTGAAAGCCAGCTAATCCGTTCCAATTGGAACGAATTGCCATCGCTAATGGAAAATCTCCATAGGAAGATTTTCAAAACACGGTTCCCCCATTGAAATGCATTGAAACCTATTCAGTGCATCGCAATGGGGGAAAAAATCCACAACAAATTAAAGAAGAGTCAGAACAAGGTCAAATTGGGTTAACAAAGGGTTTATTCAGTGCACTTTACGATCTCAAACATTTCAAACCCTAAACCTTAACTTTAAACCCTTTTAAAAACAGCGATCGCGCAGCTGTTTAAAAACTCGCTAATCGAAAACAGGGGACCTAAACTCGCTTTTTGAAGCGCGGTCCCGAAGATCGCTATTCAAATGTTTAAAAACTCGCTAATCGAAAACAGGGGACCTAAAACGGACTTGCTTTTTGAAGCGTGGTCCCGAAGATCGCTATTCAAAAATTGCCCATAGGAAAAATCGCTAATCAAGGCGAAAAAATGCCCCGAAAACCACATCGCTATTCGGTTTCTTCGTTAATAGAGGCGCTCGCTATTCGAGGCACCACTGTATGTGAATATGTACCAGGTATGTGCATTGTTGGTATTTTTGTTTAACCTAAGTATAGTTTGACTGCTGTACTGTTGCTGGAATTACAGCACTCAGAGGAAGCTGAAACAAGACTGCTGCATTGAGGTGGCCAGATCCTGGCTGTAGTTGAGTGAACTCTGTGTTTTGTGTGGTATCTTGACACAGAATACCTGTCCATTAGTACCCACCTTTAATGGAGAAGAGTAAACAGTTAGGAAAATTATTTTTGTACTATAATCCCCCAGAATCTCAAGGGATGGGATGACACTGATATTTTAGGACAGTGTAAGTTGTGTATAAGGTAAAATTGAGGGAATAATTTTTTAAAAAACTGTGTATTGAAAAGAAATTAACTACTGTTCATTGTAAAATCAGACTTGGTTCACTGAATTTAGCAACCTGTTCTCTTGGGAATATGAGAAGAAATTAGTTACTCAAAATACTTTGCTGAACACTCATATGCAGAGCCTTCAGAAGAGAAAAGTTAAGTGACATGGGTGCAAAGTGCTATTTTCATAAATAAATATCATCAGCTAATTTTTATCATGGCAGTATTGTTACAAATGTAATTTAACAGATCTTATTTTCTTGCTTTCTACTCAGCATTACTGTACCTCAGTTTAACTATGCTGTTTTACACTCAGTTTTCCCACAGAGTTCTGTTCTGTTGATGCATCTGATTTTTATTCCACGTTCTTCCAAACTTTCTTTTCTCCTGCATAGTCTTCTGCTCCAGCCCTAGCGTGCTGTTTTGAAAACAGTTTCTCAGTATGTGCTAAAGACCTACATGTCCTTACAACTGAGATGTTCCCTTCTTGTTCTTTATATATGTATGTTTTCTTTCTTTCCAAGGAGGAAAGAGAAGTAGACAAATAGAACAAGAGACAATGAAGGCAGAGATTAGAAATACAATTCTCTACTTTCTACTCTACTCCATGTCTCATCTAAGCCCAACCTTCCTTCTCTCTCAGCCCAACCTTGTGAATCAACTGAATCTGTGCCCAAGTTTGGTTTTATCACTAGTGAAACCTTCAGATTTTCCCCAAGTTTGCTAATAATGCCCATTTTGGCACAGACAGAAATGTTGGAGCTTACCATGACCTGTTTGTTTCCTATAGTGAGAGGAGGACATACTGAATGGACAGGTTGTTCCCCTTGCTTGCATTTGATAGGCAGGAACTGGTAATTAAGAGCTGAATAAACCAGAGTTCTCAAGAGGATGAGAACACCCTGAATAGACAGTTTTCTGGTTCCTGTCTAAGCTTCTATAGGCACACTTCACTAGTATTTATCTTAAATAAATAAATAAATAAATATTGCTCTACTTCCAGATCTCTCTGCTGAACCACACCTATCCCCACTAGACCCAAACTAGTGCCATTTTGTCTTTGTAAGGACTAGTACTCAATTTATGAGTTCAGCATTAGTTGGCACTGCATATAGGACACGGCCACTTGTTGTTTGCAAACCATACTGTAAAACTAATTTGAAGTGGGCATGCAGTAGGGTTACGTGCATCTGAGCAGAAATTGGTGAAGTTCTGTGCTTTCTCTCTCTCTCTTCCCCCCCATACATACTCCTTGGTTGGTGGGCTTGCAGTTTCACTGTATTTATGGGATTTTAACCAGAATCAAGTCAATAAACCAGGCTTAATCATTATGTCTCCATCAGGCCTTTATCTTTAATTGTAATTCTGCCTATTTCCTTTGTTTTCTGATATTTTCCTTTATATATTTTCTTCCTGCTTTGCCATTTTTTTGACTTGGAGCTTTAACTTGCCATAGTGCCATATCTTAAGTATAGCAGATATTTCTCAATTCTTTATTGTGATCAAATGTGTCGTGTCATCATCACTGTTGCACCTCAATATACCAAATTTCTGTTTGCTCACCTTTGTCGTGGACGTCATGTCTCTGATGTTCTACAACAGTTCTTGTAATTTGAGTTCATATTGCTGCTCCACTTGTTCATTTCAACGTAGAACATGGGAAAATGCCTTCCAAACCAATAAATAATAAAGTAAGGTGATAGAGATGACACGTTTCAGTACTCAAGAGTCTACAGTCCAGCCTTCTTAATTCCTTGTTTTTATTGTCTTGCAAATTCCATGACGGGAGCATCTCTCTCATTCTAGTGCTCTGAAGCCAGCTTGCTGTTTTTAATAATTGTGTGTATGTATGTGTGGAGAGCAATGGGTCGGGGTGCACTTAGGCATGCATGTTGCTTGGTCTGTGTTAAGCCTTTTTTTCTGTCTTATGTTCATTCACAGCTGTGATTAGTGCTCATCCCATCCATTCCCTTGATAACCCCCACCATCATTTCCACTCCGGCAGCATCGCTTCTCCAACCTGCAGCTATCTCCATCATCAGGCAAACCCATGGCCAGTTGGCACCTCCGTGTCCCATTCAGACAGGGCTAATTCCACAGGTGAGAAGAATGACCTAGGGCACGCTGGTTTGGAAGGCGGCCAATAGGAAACAAGATGTGAAACTTAGATCTTCCAGAACATAAGTAGATGGCACTTTGTAAGTGGGGGCGGGCTGGGTTGTTAGAAATGACCAGTGGTTTGTTTGGGCTGAAGTCCTGCGTCCTTCTACTAAGAAATAAGCCTATTGAATTTATCTGGGCTTATTTCCATATATGTGTGCAGGATTGAGCTGTTAGTCTTGTGATCTCTTTCGTTTGCAATTTGGATTCTCAGTGTAATTGGTTTATTTAATTTTGCAGTGCTTTTATGTTTCAAGTCCAAATTAAACTGCAATTACTGTATGTAACAGCATCAGCATTCTGAGCTCTGTTGATAGGGTGATCATTTCAGTGCTGGTAAAGAACTCCAGAGGAAAAGGGAATCAGCTACTTCTCTTATTCTCGAAATGTTTTTTTTAAATGAATCAAGCTCTTTTCATACTTGGAATCAACTCAGTCAGATATATACTGTGTCTGGTTTACAAAAAAGGATAATAATATCCCCTTCTAACAGCATGTTTTATGAATCGTAACACACTAAAGGCCTGTGTATTGTCTGGATATAATTTGTAGATGGTGTTTCCGCAAGCACAATGTTATTGTGGTACTGCTAAGTTGTGTTTAGACAGCAGTATAGAAGAAAAACAGGTATTTTATTTATTTTATTTATTTATTTACAATATTTTTTAGCCGCACCATTACCAGTGGCTTCTGGGCGGCGTACAACATTAAAACTTAAAAACATTAAAAACATTTTAAAAGACAATATAAAATATCATATATTAAAACAATTCTTAAAACATTAAAAATTAATAAGTCCTGCTGCTCATGTGGCCAGCTAGGGAATACTGTTTAATTAAAATGCTGGCTAAACAGAGTTAGGGAATTTCTGTTTAATAGTTGAGGCTTTGTTTGCCTTCTTAATGTCTGAGTATGAAATCTTGATAGTAGTTTCTCAAGGGGGGACCATTTAGCCTTTAAGGCAAGAGGTACTATTATGCGCTCATGCATGGATGACTGTTATTGTTAATCTTCAGGAAAATAACTTGAAAATAAGCAGTTAAAGAAACCTCCTATAGGAAAGTATCAGGTCCTCATCTCTCTAGGTCAGTTATTTATCTTGAATTGTAAATAAGCCACTATCAAGGATTGCGCTGGAATGCTTACAAGGTGAACAGCTGGATTTCAAAAGCGAAACAAAACACTTTCTCTGAGATCTTTATGTTGCTATAACTGATATATAAGTCAAGTGAATGGTTGCTGCTTAGAGTGAATCTTGTCTATATGCAAAGCTGAAGTTTGGGATATGTGTAAAGTTATGGGGGAGAGCAAGGAAGCAGGATTCTTCTTTATAGACTTTGTGACTCACACAGCGCGGCTTCTGCATCTGCACAGAGGATTGTTTGGAAAGCCCCAGAGCTGAACATGTAACATCCTCCTACCACGCAGGGCCCCTCACGCCAATATCACTTCCCTCTGTTTCTTTTCCATCCACCACCAGAGCAACCGCATAGGAACATGCCACTGTAGCTGAGCTTTGCATTTTGATCTTTTTTCTGTTATCTCTCAACTTCTACTTCATCACCTTTATTTCATTACTGTTTCACGGAAGACTTTTATTTGATTGCTTTCTGATTTATCTAGCTCCTTTTTGGACTCCTATTTCTTGGCATGCTTCCGCCCATGCTAATATCCTCACCTGAACTGTTATATGAGCAAGACCATCCTTTGCCCAAATTTCAGTTGAATCAGGGCTTAGTTTTACCATGATTTTTCAGAATCTTTCCTTTCCATAAGACTAATCTGTTCACACCTTAGAGGTTTGCTGGGCACTGGCCTTCTATGTTTCTCACACTGCTTCATTTGGCTTGTTGCCTTGTTCACCAAATAGCCAAACCACCATTGCCTCATGGGAGTGAAGAGCCACTCAATGAGATCAGTATCAACTTAGGCATCAGCTCACTGTAGTGTCTCCCTACCACAGATTTGCCCTGTGCCAGCAGAGGCTCTCAGCCTTCTATATGCATCTGTCACTTTTGTCTGGACTGCTGGTGCACCCTTTAATAGAAGAGTCTTTCTCCAATACTGATATGACACCACACACCTCCAGTAAGATAGCTTGCTGGTTTCCCATTTTTGTGAAACAGAGGCCATGAAGAAGGACTGTTAATAACTTGGATTCTTCAAGTAATAATCTGTGAACTCTCACACTGCTGTCCTTCTCTTTATGGATTTTTGTGGTGAACTGGAAGTGATATTGGCAGGTATGACAATGCATGGTAGGCGGGTGTTGGTGGTGCAACTGCACAATTGCTCAGCTCTGAAATGTTCAAAGTGATCATCTCTGCAGGCAGAGAAACACATTTGTGTACGTTCACAGATGACCACTCAAAAAGCCATTGCTTCCAATGGCAACCTGTTATTACCACATATTACAATATGGTCATTATAATTCTATGGCAATATTAGGTTATTCTGGATGCTTTTGTGATTGAATTTTATTTGATCTATGGCTTAATGATCTTGCTTTTCTCATTGATATCTGCATAATTGATGAGCTTTTCTCATTCATGAGATCTGCATAATTCACTGTCTTCTTAATGCAAACTATGAACAGTTGCTTTGTGGTGAGGGTAATAACAATCTGTTGTTTAATTACACACCTAATGATTTATCTTTGCAGCATGAGTTAAAAGTAAACTATGATGTCAGAATACACATGATCTATATTCCTTAAAATATACTAGCAATAAGGAAACTAGAAAGATTAAAGTGCCTGTTGTATGCATGAATGGGACACAATTACTGAAGAGCTGTTCAGTTAAAAATATGTTCTATCTGAAGATAAATAATTAAGAGAAATTACTGAAGAGCTGTTCAGTTAAAAAAATGATGTTCTATCTGAAGATAAATAATTAAGAGCAAATGTAAAGATATCTTAGCTAATCCAGTCAATCAGCTGGTGTCTGGATTCACTAGCTATATACAGTATTTGTGATGGTGAGGCATTACAGAAGACCAGTAGTGACTTCTTGCTGAACAGAATAGAGTCTAGGTTTCAAAGACGTAGAGTCCGGAAATGTAAATATGAATTAGATCAAGCAAACCTTTGGTGACATCTCCATGTTCTCAGTTGTTGAACATAGTTTATTAGTATCTGCCATCCAGTCATTTTGAACTTACGGCAGCTCTCTGAATTAACAGCGTTTTAACCACTACGCCACGAGGCTCTATATACAGTATTTGTGATGGTGAGGCCATTGCAGAAGACCAGTAGTGACTTCTTGCTGAACAGAATAGAGTCTAGGTTTCAAAGACGTAGAGTCCGGAAATGTAAATATGAATTAGATCAAGCAAACCTTTGGTGACATCTCCATGTTCTCAGTTTATTAGTATCTGCCATCCAGTCGTTTTGAACTTACGGCAGCTCTCTGAATTAATATTATCCAAGATACCATATTATGAACAACCCTGATCAGGTCTAGCAAACTGAAGGCTGTGGCTTCTGTTATTGGGTGAATCCAACTCATATGAGGTGTTCTTTTTTTCCTTTGACCTTCTACTGCCTGGATGTGTTTAAGAGAATGTATGTGGCTTACTGCTGAGGTGACTGCTTACCTAATTCCAGTAAAAATAACTTGCAGAACAGTGCTTGAAGGATGGGGGTTAGCTTTATATTAGCAGGACTGTTGTGTTGTGTTGAAGTAAAAATGAATTTTCATTTTCTTCCCTAACTAGAATCTGTTCGGAATACACCCAGCACAGATACCATGCCTGCTTCCTCTTCTCAGACGTGTTGTGCTGAGCATCAGGAGCCAGAAAATGCCACAGGGTCCTACCTGCCCAGTACGCAGGAGGAGGAGGCAGGTCCAAACCTTCCCACTGCCCATGTCCGTCCCTCTCATCCTCTGAAGAGCTTTGCTGTGCCAGCAGTCCCACCTGCCGGGACAACGTATGACCCTGCTCTGCCCAGCACACCTTTATTATCCCAGCAAAGTGAGTGCCAAGGAGTTCCTGTTGTGGACTACAGAAGTCGTGCATGCAGGAAACGGCCTTCAAAGAAGAAGTTGTGTTAGTCTCTACAGAAGTCGTGCATGCAGGAAATGGCCTTCAAAGAAGAAGTTGTGTTAGTCTGTCTAAGCATATCTGAAAAAGGCAAAATGAATTAACTTGGATGGCCACACCTCTAGGGTTCTATCCATCAGAAAGCAAAAATCTTGTGGCACCTTAAAGACTAGCTCTTATATTTTCATGAGAGTTTTATGGATACATCCACTTTTTCAGACTTCAACTTTGTAGGAAGAGTTGTGATCCTTCAGAAGCAGAGACACCTGCTTCCTTGAAAAGTGTAATGAGTGTAAAAATATCACAACTAAAGCAATGTTGAGTGGTCCTGACCCGGCCAGATAGGCAGGATATAAATTAAATAAATAAATTAAATAAATCAAATAAATAAATAAATAACAACAACAACAACATTAATCTAAAATAAGTACCAAAGTAAAATATGTACCAAAGTACCTGCTTCGGTCCTGCCTCTTAGTAACAAAAATTCTGGCAAGAGTGACCTGAAGTGCAGATTAGGGCATTAGGGGAGTCAAGAGAAAAGTGTCATGGGAAATAAGGTGAGAAAGAGAGAAGGTGGTGGCCAGTGTATTAACCCTAAAGGAGTACAACCCATGGTAAAAAAAAAAAAGATCCTCACACTTTTGTCTTCAAATGTTTTTCTCAAAATGGATGGAAAGATTTATATTTATATACAATTTTTAAGCTGCCATTTTAGTTTCCCCAAGCAGTTATTCTAATTAGGAGTACAGTTCAGAGATCACTTTGCCAGATTACTGTATTTTTCCGTGTATAAAATGACACTTTTTTCTTACATAATTTGAGAAAAAATGAGGGTTTTTATACACGGAAGGCAGCTCTTTACCACTGCCTTTTGTGAAGGGACGGGGCTTTAGCAAAAAGGAAGGGGAGCCGTTGTCAGTTAACTCTTAGTAAAAGCCTCACTGGGTTGTCCCAAAATGGTGACGGTCATACTGGGCAGAATGTAGGATGCTCAGCTGTTCCTGAGGGACTGTTTGTCGTGCCATGCCAGAGGAAGTGAGAGAATCTTTTCCTCAGTGTTACACCAATTCTAAAGTGACAACCCATCTAAAGGCATTTGTCTGACACTACTGTTATGGCCTCCTTTGGGTGCTGTACCACGCCTTTGAAGTAATAGTTTAGAGCTGGGTGGCTAGTATAGTTTTCATTGTTTAAACTGTACTTGAGCATTTGAGTTTATACATGGCCAGAGATCTGAGAAAACATGATGGCAATTTAGCTGCAGGTGTTGAATTGACTAATCCCAGTTGTCTAAATTGTTTATTCAGCGTACTAACTGCAAATATAATTTGTGTTAAGCTGCTGGCCATCCGGTTCATTCAGTGAAGACTGCCTCGATCGGCACTCTAGGCAGAACTCGACCTCCGATGCCAGTTGTGGTCCCAAGTGCACCTGATGTCCAGGAAACTACAAGGATGCTCGAAGACTCCGAAAGTGTAAGTATTCTGCTAGAATGAAGCCTTAACCTTTGAAGTCTTATATATATATATAAAATTTGTTCTTGGTGAGCTGCTCTATAAAAATCACTAGATGTCTGAGAACACAGAATAAAGTAACTCAGAATTGCCCGCACCCCCCAGGGTTCGGCCCATCAGTAATTGTTCATTGCTGCCATGTGACAGCAGTTACTTCTTCCAGCATGTGACAAAGCACAGTTATGCAACCAATGTAATTTGTATAAAGTCCCAAATTCTGGGGGAAATCTCTTTATCAGTTAGTCATAATTAGTCCTATGGCACTAGGAAGACTTGCTCAAAAGCAGCTTTGAATCCCCATGTTAGCATTTCCCCCTTTTTGTGTAATTTCTTTACAGAACGAAATGGCAGCCTAGCTCCCTTTATGTAATCTCAGGACAGAGCAGCCAAGTTACTTTTTTCAAGCCAATCGCATTGTTAATTATAATCTTGGTCCAGGCCAGAATGTTGGATTTCAGATTTCCAAAGTGGAATTCCTCTCAGTAGACTCTAAGTAACATATATTATGGTGGTTGGAACATGGCTGTATAGTCCAGATAGTCATGTTTTATTGTAAAAAAGCCAAAGTAGGTTTCCGGCTCTCATAGAAAGATTGGGGGCATATAGGCAAGTCCATCATTCTGACTTCTAATTCTAGCATGGATATTTTTGCTCAACAGCAGGCTCAAAATACTGGCATGGACAGGGTTCAGCATTCATTCGAGTGTTTAAAATTCCCTTTCAGACTAAGGATAATACACTTTCCAAAACAGAATGTATTATCTGGGGTTATTAAAATGAGAATGCCAATTCTGTTAAAGAATCTGAAATACTTAGATTATCAGTTGTGCTGTGGTTTACAAATGCTTTTGTGGGGTAGTTTCTACTGGAGGTGAACAGACAACCCCATTCCTTTGATGCACACTCTGAAAAAAAGACCTCAACATGCTTCTCAGTGAGAGTTGGGAGGCAGTTGGAGCATGCCTGAAGTCATTACTTTAGAGTACCAGGATGCAAAAAAGTTGATTATCTTTTTTCTTTTTCCTCTTTCCTTGTGTCCCCCCCATCTCCGTCACATTGTGTTGTGTTAATTCGCCATTTACTGTTTGTCTGGGTTTGTTTACATGCTGGACATTGCTCCTGTCTTCACCTTTCCCTTTGCATTACTTTAGCAAAATGAAAAATGGGATGGGGACATTTCAGTTTCTGTGGTAACACAATCCATCTAATAAAGTTGACTTTGCTGCCATGCCCAAATTCAGAGCTGTTGGTCACGGTCCCTTCCCTGGCTCTCGCTTCCTTCCCAAACAATGCAGCCCATCTTGTCCAGTAACCCTGTTAAATCTCCTGCAGAATTATGAACCGGATGAGCTGACCAAAGAGATGGCCCACCTGGAAGGACTAATGAAGGACCTTAATGCCATCACAACAGCGTGACCACCTTGTCCAAGAAAATGACTCCAAACCCTGTTTCGCAGGTCTTGGGACTTAGCCTTGGAGCACAAGAAAATGTACAGAGACTAGGGGGGACAGCACAAGAGGGACGGGCAGCCAGCTGCAGCATCATTGCCAGTGCTGGCTAATCCAAGTGACTTTTGTATTCATTTCCCCGAAATGAACCTGTTGGAAAATTGAATTCCACTTCCTGCCGAGGTGACACAGGAAAGGGAAGCAGGGAGACATGCGTCAGGCTGATGAGATCTAGTATATCCAGATGAAGAAATGGGACTGAACGTTAATTTGAGTTGGGTTTTGTCTCAGTGCTGTGACCTTCCCTGCTTTTTCAGTGTTGGACATTCTCATTTATGTACAATTTTATTTGTGTGTTTTTATTTTATTATATCTTTTTTTTATTAAAAAATGTAATCTGATGAAAAAAGGAATTTGTGTTGTTTCCCACAGCCTTGACGGACATTTGATTGCTTGTTCTGTTGTGTACAGGAATTCATTGCCAGTGTGAGTTCAGTTTTTTTTTTTTTTAGTGTGTGTATAATTACATCACTTTCCAGCAGTTAATCCATGGTCTTGGGGGATGCTGCTTTGCTATTTGTAAGCTTTTTTATTTTTATATTACAATTATTAAAAGCCTGACTAGATTTTTCTCTCGTCACTGTGAGATTAGCTATCTATTTGGATTAACCTGTAACACAAAAGAAAGTTTTGCCTTTTTAATGCATTTTCAGTATAGGATGGGAGTAGGAAGTCACAGAGTAGATAGGAAGTTTCATTATTCCTAAGGAACAATGAAATGAATTTTATCAATCTGAATAGCTCCAACTGACCTTCAACATATGCCAAAGTAGGCAGAATATCATGTGTGAATTTAATAATCCTTGTTTAGTAACAGGAACACATCCTCAATCAATGTGACAGAAAAATTACTACCTTGAGACATTAGCTTTGTCCACGTAAGCACATGCCAAAATAGTTGACATTTCTTGTGTGGACAAAAAAAATATTTGAGAATTAGGCCAGAATCATGAAACAGGAGTTTGTGAAAGAATGTTTTACCCATCATCTGCTGGTGTCTGTTTCCTAATTTGCAAGGGAGTTTCATTAAGAAATACCCTTATAATATAGAGTTCTTTAGGATCAGATACCAGTTTCTTACCTGCAAAACTTTCTGTTGTTTAAAATGTTTTATTTTAAGACCTGTGCTTTCAACATAGTCTTCTCTTCCAGATTTTTTAATGTATGGAGGCCAGTCATAAACTAACTGTGAGTCACCTTTCTCTATAACTGTACACCATCCCAAAGGTGGTCAGAAACATTTTGCAATCAGAAAAAAATGTCTTTGCAGGTTTGCTTCTAGAAACAAGCAGGAACTACTAACAGGACTCAAGTGCTGTTCTCACAAGAGAAGAGGGTGAAAGAAAGCTTCTCAAGCAAAACTTGATTTCCTCCCTGCTATCAGCTTACTGCCTCTCCCACCATACTCTGTTAGGAAAAAGAATACAATGAGAAAGAATCCGATTGTTTTGGAATGTATACAAACACCTTTAAAGGGTGTTAGGATGGCAGAGAGACACATAGATCTTATGGAGGCAAATTTGCTGTCTCAGCAGTGTTGCAGATCAGGTTCAGTGCTAGCAGTAGGCTCAGAGATCAAGTTATCGTAACAGCTCCTGGTCTCTGATCACCAGCGGACTGTATAGGTTCTTTAATATCTCATGGAATCAAGGCTGGAATTATATATTACTGAACAATTGTTTTGTCCACGCACAGCTTTTGCTACCCACTCTCTTCCAGCAAATTCTCGTTTCCCAAGCTATTTTTTCCTCCAGAAAATGGTTCCAGATCTGTGTTTGCTTCTGACCTAATAGAGGCAGATGTATTTGAAAACTTGGAACCAGATATGACCAAAAAAAGTTACTGGCATTTGACTGTAAAGTTTCTGATGATGAAACATTGAATTAATCCTGGTGAGCAGCTATAACATATGCACAAAACTTGCTATGCTGGATCCAAACAATAAGCCATCTATTTTTAGATACTGTATTCATTTTTACAGTGATAAAAGTGCCATGAAATGTAAAAATGGTTCACCTAGATTCAAGCTCAGTGTTCTGTCTTCCATCAGCAGCCATCCTGATGCCTCAGGAACATTCTTTAGCATTAGGGTATATGTAGATTCTTTTCCAATTTCCTTAATTGTAGCAAATTCAATGAAAGCTTATGTTTGATTGGAGTTGGGGCAGTCAGTCAGTGAAAATTCCAATATATGGCCAAACTGGGAATTCGTTGAGGAATGAGGGTGAATCAGACACTGGCCTGGATCCAGTTCTCTGGGAAATGTGGGAGTGTTGTGGATTTGTGTGCTCGTAGAGGACAGTGAATACCTTCGGCACACCCAACCTCATCATAAATCAGAAACGGCTCCAAAGGAGGCACTGGGGTGTATCTAAAAGGCCTGCTCTGTGCATGCATGCTACAATGGGCTTCTTTGGAGTTGGGCTCTTAGATCCAGGGCCTTAAGTTGGGAGGCAATGGAGCTGACTATATATATGCCTTGAGCACCATTTTGTAGAAACACCTACAAAATGAAAAAAAATCTGACAGGAAGAGCGTTCTACCTGACTGCTAGTCATTGTACAATGTTATCACAGCAAAGATCAGGAACTCCTTTCTCTGTGTAGGGTTCTCTTCAATTCCACTGTATTCTGTTGGCGCACGAGTCCTACCCCTCAGATGTATACATTTCTCTCTTGTACCTATACCCAAAGATATGCCATCATGTGTACTCAGTATTTTCTACCCCCAGCCCCCACTGGTGGATTTTTTTATTTTATTTTTGTGAATATATTGCTACTTATGTAGAACACCCTGAATGTCAATATTGCCATGAACCTGGGAAGGGGGCGGGGGATATTTTTAATAATAAAACAACTGTTCAAAGTTGGGTTTTTTAAAGGTTAAATCAAAAAGAAAACATTTATTCAAGTCAGTGTACTATATGTATTGCACTTTTACACATTTTAACACTGTTTTTTACATATCTTGTGACTTTAAAGAGCATTGTGTATCTTGTAGTGTCATAGCTAAGCTGCTTTTGTGGCAGTTTCCTCCATTATGGAGGACAGGGGATCTGTATATTGTTTTACAGTTCTGATGTAGGAGAGTTCTGAGGACTGCTGTAAACATCTAATTTTCTGTACATTTTTTTCTGTAGTATTTGCTGTATACGCTTATAAATTTTTAATACTGTCATGTTTATTGTTTAGTATTGGATATCCAATACACTTTTTTAATCTAATCAACTTCTGGTTTTATCTAGAGTTATATATATTGTCAGTGAAATAACCTATCAGACATGACTGGCAGGGCATCTAACCACCTGATGGTGAAGGAAGAGATGCAACTTGAGCTGGCACTCCATCATCTCCCTGGTTGCGGTTTCCACATCAATGAGGCAGTGGATTGGCAGAGAATGCAGCTGCAGAGCTGGCCACACTCAGATGGGCCTCTGCTGGTGGTTGTAACTGGGACTCCTTTCCAACTGCAGTGCACAGTGGTGTGTCCCTTCCATGGTTTCCCCTTACTCTCTACAGGATGGAGGTGACAGTACCCACAAAAGATGGTCGAGGACATAGACACACCATGGCAAGCACTGAGGATGTAGTTAGTTAGGCCTGAAGTAGAGTGTGCAATCGGTAAAGGTTCCCCTTGACAATTTGTCCATTAGTGTGCAATCGGTAAAGCCTCCCCTTGACAATTTGTCCAGTCGTGTCTGACTCAAGGGGGCAGTGCTCATCCCCGTTTCCAACCCATAGAGCTAGCGTTTGTCGGAAAACAATCTTCCATGGTCACCTGGCCAGCGTGACTAGACACGGAAGGCTGTTTTACCTTCCCACCATGCTGGTACCTATTTATCTACTTGTATCTTGCATGCTTTTGAACCGCTAGGTTGGTGGGAGCTGGGACAAGCGATGGGTGCTCACTCCGTTGTGTGGATTTGATCTTACGATGGCAGGTCTTCTGATCTTGCAGCACAGAGGCTTCTGCGGTTTAACCCACAGCACCACCACTTCCCTGCCACAACGTGCACAGCAGTATTCATATAACAAATAACCCCATCTCTACTTAGAACTGCAGTGAAGAAGACCCCACAAGGTCAGGCTGGAGGTGGCCTTGCACAACCCCTGTCGCCACCACGTGCACAGCAGTATTCATATAACAAATAACCCCATCTCTACTTAGAACCTTAGGACTGCAGTGAAGAAGACCCCACTTGCTTTGGCTGGAGGTGGCCTTGCACAACCCCTGTAGTGCTTAGGCCATAAGCCAGGTCAAAATTATCTTTTAAAGTGCTTAGGACTGCAGTGAAGAAGACCCCACAAGGTCAGGCTGGAGGTGGCCTTGCACAACCCCTGTAGTGCTTAGGCCATAAGCCAGGTCAAAATTATCTTTTAAAGTGCCAAAAATGGAGGTTGGGTGGGACTTACCGTATTTTTTGCACCATAAGACGCACTTTCCCCCCACAAAACAGGGGGGTGGAAAGTCTGTGCGTCATGACCAAAAAATGGAGGTTGGGTGGGACTTACATAGCACATGTCAACCCCCAACCTTCAGCCTTGCTGCAGAAGCACACAATCACAGGAAGAGTGGCCTTTATAGCAAGGGGCATCCCCTCTAGTGCAGTTGTGCTCACATGGAAAGACTTGAGTTTTAGGTGCTTCCATTTGGAGTGTATCTGCTCTTGGAACAGAGCATAGCACATGTGAATCCCCAACCTTCAGCCTTGCTGCAGAAGCACACAATCACAGGAAGAGTGGCCTTTATAGCAAGGGGCATCCCCTCTAGTGCAGTTGTGCTCACATGGAAAGACTTGAGTTTTAGGTGCTTCCATTTGGAGTGTATCTGCTCTTGGAACAGAGGGAAGCCCTGAATTAACAGTCTGCTGAATAGGTCCCCAGTACACTCTGGAGTGCCATCCCATAGTTCAAGGGTCCACAATAGACAAATTCCCCCTATCCATACAGGAAAACACATCTCGGTGCAAAGAGGAAAATAAATTTACTGGAACACAATACGAGTGTATCTGCTCTTGGAACAGAGGGAAGCCCTGAATTAACAGTCTGCTGAATAGGTCCCCAGTACACTCTGGAGTGCCATCCCATAGTTCAAGGGTCCACGATTCAATAGACAAATTCTCCCTATCCATACAGGAAAACACATCTCAGTGCAAAGAGGAAAATAAATTTACTGGAACACAATACGAACAATGAAACAAGTCTCACACAAATCAAGAGGGGAGCTGCATGCAAGGGCCGTGTTCTGGGCGGCTTATTTTACAGTTTTCAGGCAAAGAGGTAAAGGTTTGATGGGTGATTCTGAAAACCCTGGTTAGTGAAGTCCCTATAAATTTTGCAGTAAAGGACCAGACGGATCTCCTTTTGAAAAGAGCCATTCTATTAGTAACAGAAGCTATTTTGCCTCTACAGAGTGTGCATTTCTAAGCAAGGTGTTAAGAAGCCATAAAATTATGAAGACAATTTATGGTGCAAGCAGGTAATGATGCCATACAATCAGGGAAGAAGAAAATGGGGAGTTTTCTAACAGGTAGAAAAAATGCCTAAAAACTTGGCAGAATAGAACAAGAGGAAGTTACTCAGTTATTCGCAGTTTCAGATGCTTCTTTAACAGTGCGAAAGGGGGAGTTGATGATAGGTGCTGGGGTGAGAATATGTATGCATAGTTTGCGCAGAGGCAGGACTCCCCTCCCACAATCTAAGTGATGCTAGAAAGTTCAAAACTGGCTCTGCACAGGTGCAAGGGCCACATCAGAAAGATTAGTCCTAGGAGCCAGATTTCTTCTTGGGACCAACGTGGAAGCCGCTTCTCAAGCTCCACCCCATTTCCATCTTCTTTTTTATGTCAATGGGCATAGAGGTCCCTGCATCTCAGCACTGTGGAGAATCCAGCATTTTCTGCTGGTAGTGGCTAAGCTGCAAGGAATGGCGAAATGGAGTCACTTCTCCATGCACCAAGAGAAATCTAAGCTCCATTAGCTCCTTCTGTGTAATGGAAGGAACAAAGTTGAGTAAGCTCTACCACTCTCCAATCCTTTCTTCATCTAGTTGGTTTGAGAAAGAGGTCTCATCCAAAACTTCATTCTGGATGGGTCAGCATCGCACATGCATTTAGTTTGCCTGAAATGCACAGAAGCTCGAACCCACAAGCTTTCCTCTTAAGCTCATCCTTGTCACAGGGAAGATAAAGAAAGGGAAGCCTGGCATTTTCCTTGCTAGCCACTTTTATAGGATCAATTTTTTTTCCTATCCAGCACCTCTTCACTATGAATCTTCTGTGAAAACGTACTTTGAGAGCTAAGTTAGATAAGAGTAAGATGCATCTTGCATTTCAGGGAGCTGAATACAGGCACAGTGCTGACCCATCTAACCTGTGGAGCCTTGCATGACAGACCTCTTCCTCAAACCGACTAGAAAAAGCATGGCCGGGAGTTATACTGAGTTGTACTTAGAAATATAATATACTCAATATTGCTTTATTTACAAATTCAGTCTAAGAAACCAAATATATATGCCCCTTTTGCGTTACAGCTGTCGAATCATGCATAGCAGACACTGTCCAACCATAGTCAGCTATGTGGTCTGTAGTAACTTGAGAAAATAACCTCAACAGAAAATCCACGAAAATTCATGTTTTTTTACGCCTGCAAAGAAGAGACAAGTTGTGTTGATTCCTAGAAACTAGAATTTAGCACATTTGCTTAAATGCCTGTGTAAAAGTCTCTCTCACACATTGTGATCCCCTGAAGTCCTTCAACCCTCAAAGCTTCTTTATCTACTCACAACACATGAACACTACTACTGCTGTGCCAGGTCATACAAGTTTATTCGCCCAGTCCTGTTCCCCACAGAAGCTGCACTGCTCCTTCGTGCTGTTAAATGACAGCTTTCCTCAGCACCTCCAATCTTTAATGAACATTACCCATCCTCACCACCATCTAGTCAGTGGAGCCACAAACAAGGAACAGCATGAGAAGCTGTGCCAGCCATCTGCAATATTTAGAACCCCACAAATGACTCTAAAAATAAGAAAGATGGCAAAAATGAACTTTTAGGACTCAGAATGAGACTATAGCAGTGGCCTGGGCAAAGGAGATCTTGGTACACGTGCTGGATTTCAACCTGGGAGATCTAGATACAAGCTCCTAATGAGCCATGAAAGTCAGCATTATGTGATATTGAGCCTATCGCTCTCTCAGCCTCACTTAGCCCGCTAGCTGTTTCTGTGAAGACAGAAGCAGGCAGGCAGGACAGCCGTGCATGCTGTATTCAGTTCACTTCAGTTCATTTATTCATTAGGTAGATATAAATTCTGCCCTGTGTTCAGTTCATTATATATAACTAATGAATAAATGTTAGAAGCCAGATGATACCTACATAATTTCTAGAGGACAATTCAACCCTTGCTGGATGGGTTCAAAAGAGCTCTTCCGCCAGGCTTTCCCAGAGCACTAGGATCTCGCTCTCCCTTTTTACCATTCTTTTTGCCATCCTCTCCTTTTTACCACCTTTCTTGCCATCTGTTTTAATTTCCCTATTTGTTATGTATTACAGTAATTTATTTTTATTGTGTTCTTAATATTATTCCTTATATTGTTGTTAGCTGCCCAGAATGGCCTGATTGCCAGATGGTGCGGGATATAAATTCAAATGATGAATGAATGAATAAATACAGTTTTCCCAATGGATATCTATTTGTGAGGGAACTACTGTTAACAACAACAAACTCTGCACCCACAAGTCCTATTCCCTGCCACCTCCAAAAGCAGCACTCCTAATATTTCAACTTTAGGGTCCAGTCTGGTGCACTAGTCACAACTGTTTCAGAAAACAACCAATGTCTCTCAGTGGTAGGGGTGGGGAAAAGGGAGTGAAAGAAAGAGAAACTTACTTGGGTTCAGCATAATGTTGATATGCAGGTCCAAGACGACAGCCTGCCTTCATGTCTACACCCACTGAACACTGAAGAGAAACACATATTAGAGTTAAGCAGCCACTCCCCCACCCCTACCAAAAGTATGTTTAGCCCAAAATTCTTTTGTCTTACTCTTGTTTCTACATCAGTCCACTCTGACTCTGTGTCCCCATCTGGTGGCGAAGGCCTTGAGGGGGAGGATCTTCGCTTGCGACTGGAAAAAGCAAGGAAACATTAGGCAGGGGAACTGGCATCCAGTAACATATTTCATGAGGCACAGTGCGAGTTCACAGATGCAGGGCTAAAGAACAGAAAGCTCATTTCTTGCCTTAAAGTAAGGTCAACCTCTCGCAAACAAGGAGGGGAAAGCAAATGTCCTATCACTATGTTATAGCCAGTGTAGCATACAGTGGTGCCCCGCATAACGACCGATTTGTTTAAAGACGAATCCGCATAGCCATGGCTTTTTTGTGATAGACGAATCTGCATAGCCATGGCTTTTTTGTGATCACATTGCGATGGCAAAACACCGCTTTGCGATGATCAGTAAGCGTTTCGCTTACCGATTATCGCATAACGATGTTTTAAAAACAGCTGATCAGCAGTTCCAAAATGGCCGCCCGCAGTGTTTTCGTGCCCTTTCCTCGCTTACCGGGCAGTGAAAATGGCGGCCGCATGGAGGATTTTCGCTTTCAATGCGTTCCTATGGGCTTTTTTGCCCTGCATAGCGACGAATCTGTATAGCGACGATTTTTTCAGAACGGATTATCATCACAATGCAGGGCACCAATTTATTTCTAATCTACCATGCTTGTTTTGTGTGTGCATATTTTTGACAGTTTATCTCAAATGTTTATTTCTTGTACAGAATTGTTATTTATGCCCCATTTCAGTTACATTTATTTGGAAAATGCAAATGGAGTTTTTGAAACATTGTGAGCAAATCCAACCTAGATAAGTAGGTTCAAAAGGGCAGGATAGAAATCTAATAAAATAAATAAATAAATAAGTACTGTTCCCAAAACTAAAGCAAGAACACCACACACAGAGACATGGATTTATTGGTCGGTACCATCGAATTCACGAGCCAGAGTACTCCTCCTCTGATGAGCTTGTATATGAGGATGAGGAGGAGTACGACTCTAAATTCAAAGACTCGAATCCGTAGAGACGACGGGGATCGAATAACTTCCCAAATTGTTCCCACCAGCGTTTCTATTTCGCTGGTAGTGGATCCAAAGCTGATCCCTGCTTGGAAGATTGAGGTGACCCAGGACTCATGGGAGATGAATGGTCCGGATGGATTGGAGGGCAAGGCTCCCTGGTAGATGTAATCTCTTGTGGCGATCTAAGAGATGGTCGCTGGGGCATCGACTGGGGCATTGAAGAAGAGACCTTGGCTCTAGGTTTGACAGGAAGAGAAGAAGCCTTGGGTTTAGGCGGCTTGATCTTGGGAGATAAAGTAGGCATCTCGGCAGTTGAAGTGGATTTATTGTCCATTTCGGGCAGTTGAAGGGACTTCTCCCACAAAGCGGCGCGGAGACAGAGGTCTTGGAGTTCTAGCGCCTGCTTGGTGAAATTTCTACAATGAGGGCAGGATTGGGGGAGAGGAGTCTCGCCAAGGCAGAAAAGGTGAAACTGATGACTGTCTCTAAATGGAATATTCTTTTGGCAGGAGGCACAGCTTTTAAAGGAGACCTTCGTGGTCATAAAAAGGTGGGGAAAACGGGGAGGGAAGGGGGAGGGGAACCGAACTGTGGGGGTCATAAAAAGGTGGGGAAAATGGGTAGGGAAGGGGGAGGGGAACCGAACTGTGGGAAGGCTAAACAGTGAACAATTTTTTTTTCTATTTGCAACAGGGGAAACGAAGTAAGTTTTCGATCAAAAAGATTGCTGCTTAATAGGTTCCGATTCCCGCGTGACGAGCTCTAGAGAATGAGACCTGCTGCTGCAGCGGAAGAAATGGAACTGAGGTAACTGTCAGGGCGGGCAGACCACGAGGGCTCGGTCCTAAATGGTTACTTTAGCTCTAGAATGTTCCGAGGCCTCTGCGCATGTGCAGACTTAGCCCATTAGTTTGCATTCACAGAGACCACAAAGAAGAACCAGCTCACCCAGATGCCCCTATTTAACTATAGCAACTGAACCAGTATGTCAAAAGCCAAAGAATCCTTTCAGACTGGGAGCAACTCACCGTGTTGGAGATTCTTGTTTCAGCCTCTCTATCTCAGTGAACTGGACAGCTTGTCCTCCTCCTTTAGTCTTATAAACGTCGCCCTGGAAACAAGAAGCCATTTACATTATGGGCATTATCAGCCAGTCAACAGAGCAGTCATTTTCCAACTATTTTAAATCACCCTCTACATGTCTTTATTTACAGATTTGTAGACCGAGCAAGAAGAGAAAGGCCTCTTTGATCTTCCAGTACAGCTAAATGGGTCCAGTAAGGTAAGGGAGTGCAAGTGTAGGCTTAAAGCCAGATCTGCAAACTCCCATCGGATTTCTATTACTTCCCTGCAGACCTCACAGTTCAGACCTAATTAATGGACTACAATTTAGTAAAGTATTGCCATATCTAACAATTCTAGGGACTGGAAAAGCACACCTGCTCAAACCGTCAAAACTATAACTAGGAAAAAGGTCCCATCCAAAAGAAAATCAAGACATAGTGCACATACCATGGTGAATTATTCTCTAGCATTCCCAATCTCACCCACCCACATATATCATTGGGCCTCCCTCAAAGCCCAATCCTTGGGAAGGACTCTGTGGTCCTCTGCTTTACCTTGATAAGCTTTGTTTCAATCTCTCCATCGGAAGCCACCTCTTGGTGGGTCAGCATGTACTTGTCGCACTTGGCCAGTGCCTTTTCGTTTGCAGCTGCCACTGTGATGGCATGAGGGACGTGAGGTTGCATGATAGTGTCTGTCTGTATGTTGGAGGGAGGCTTATGGTCAACCCATCTCTCCTCAGCTGAGCGAGAGCGCCTGTGTCGAAGCCGAACTAACGGGACATTCTATTAGAATCATAAAAGGAATCAGAAGGAGCAAAGGTGAGCAGCAGGACATTTTCCTTAAAATGTACATGCAGGGCCTAGATGGCCTATAGAGCCATATTATAAAAGCTACTGGCAGCAACTATCTTTCTTTTAACAGCAAACAAATGCTGGAAAAATGGAAGTTGCTGGGCTTTATAGTAGAGGTGGTGAACGTGTGGGATTCCATGAATAGAATTGTAAATGGACCTTTGCTTACTTTAGTTCCATCACAGCAGTGCATTTTCCTTCTATTTGTAATAGGAGACCAAAGCACTCACCCTACTTTGTATGTTGCACGGACTCGCAAATCCTACAGATCAGAATTACACATACAGCAAATTGAGAGCAACATCAGTGACTGTACTCATGTAGGCTTGAGGACAGCATGCAATGGTCCCTTCTGCAGACCATCTTATGCAACCTTTGCCAAAAAGCTTGCCCTTGAACTGTAAGTGCATGAGTACCTCCAAGTCATCCCAGACTCCGGTGGACTGAATAAAGGGTCACAAACAGGAAGGGCATTTCCTGGCTGTGCCCAAGACAAAAGACGACTAAGAAACCTCACATTACCACCACCACCCCGGCATAAAAAAACCTAATGTTTCCTACTAAAGGCAAAGAGGAGGCAGGAAACAAAGATAGCCTAGCAGTTCCCAAGCAGACAACCTGCTCTCCATATAAGGTCTACTTGAATAATGGGCTCTCCTTTTGCCATTAAACCAACAGCTGCCTCTGCTGCAGTGGCGCTTTTCTTCACCACGTCTTCACCAGGCATTGTGAGCAGCAGGTACAGATCAGCTATTAACAGGTTTACAGAGCAAGTAAGAAACTTTGACAAAGAGAGCAAAGTGACGACCGACAGATACAGGGAAGGACTAGAACACCACAAGCCATTCGGGCACTTTGAGAACTGCCTCATCCCCACTTGGCTTCAGAAGGAACTACAGAGCTCACTGACTGAAAGCCTACAGGCTTTGCAAACGAATACTCCAGGTATCATTCCCCCGTGCCCCTCCCCCAATTTTAAACAGCAAGATTGCACATAAGGCCCTAGGAAGGATTTCTCTGCCCAAGAGCCACCGTCCTTAGACAATACAGGGCTAGGTAGACATACTGACTAGCCTAATTTAAGGCAGCTTTCTGCACTTTCCATTACCATTTGTCTGTTTGGTTTCTAGAGTTTATTTAAATAAAGTTCATCTGAACTCTGCTTTCACTTGCGCCTAGCCTACAGTAACACATTCTAGTTAAAATCAGATGTTAGTGCGGTATTCATCCCATCAGATTGGTCCCTGGTCTGTCAGTTAACTGAATTCAACCTACTACAGACCAGAGTAACCATATGATCCAGACATCTCTTGAGGCTGTGAACTAAACACACTGAAGTTTAAATAATATTGTTGCACTATTAAGAGGTAAAAAGAACCATACTGCTGGCAAATACATTCTCTCATTCACCTTGAAGAGGTGGTCTGCTCTAACAACTCTGTGAGACTTAAAAAAGCTTAAGAATGGATTTTATATTTCACAACTGAGCAGCTTTCATTACAGCTACTGTTAGGGAGGCCAGACTTTAGCAGTATGCCAGGCATACATTAAAAAAAGCAGAATGCAAGTCTGCTGGATCCCTTCATGAAAAGTCAAATTAAGGGAACCTAAACTGAAGCCACCGAGACACAAATACAGAGAACTGGCAGAGACAGTCTTCTGCCTATTGTCTTCTAGATGGGTTTGGTTTTAGCTCAATTAATACAATAAATTTGTTCATCAAACCAATGTTTGTGCGTAAGAACCTTCATTTAAAAGTATGAAATTCATGTCCCTGACTCAAACTGCAGGTGAGAAACACTCATCTGAACACTGCTGCCCACCCAGAGAGAACGATGAAATCTGCCAGGCACAGCCACTATGCAGCTCAAGTCAAGGATGCTTGGAAAGCTCAAACAGGTTTCCAGAAACAAACCAGTCAGGCCTTAAAAGCATTTTTGGAAGGAGTTTGGTTTTTGTTCATTGATTGACTTGTATTTGAAGTTTTAAGCTGTGGCTTGCATAAATATAACAGATCTCCCAAAAGCAGCAAAAATAGTGGCCTATCCCAACTGTGACCTCCTTGGAGGGCTCCACTGTAAAACTGGAATTGTGTTAAAGGTTCTCAGCGACTCTCAATACTCTTGGGCAATAGTGTTGATCTTAGTACAGGTAACCTGGACATTACAGGAAAAGGTGTTCTTTGAAGCCCTGCCCCAGACTCAGCAACATGTCACCCATAGCTAGAAGAAGCACTAACCCTGCAGAACGGATCCTCTTCTACCTCTAAGGCCTCTCTATCACTGGGGGTCTCAAGGATTCCAGTCCGATACATGCCCCGCCTTCTGTCTGACATGATACAGGGCCTAGCTTGCTCTGCTTCCTGCACTCTACTTCTTGCTCTGGGTGTGCCGCTGCTGCCACCACCGCCGGGGTGCCTGCTGCCTTGAGTAGGCGTTCTCTGCTCCCATTCTGAGATGCAGGAGGCCACAGAAATGCTGCTGCAAGAATTGGAGCGTCTATGCAGCTGTGGCTGGCTTGCAACAGGCAGATTGTTGTTGTTAGGGAGCTGAGTGACAACGTTACTAGAAAACTGAAGAGAGGTGTAGTTAGTGACCAAGAAACAGAAAAAGAACCAGTACAAAATCTGCAGAGAAAGTCAGCTGGTGGACTATGCACAGACCCCCCCTCCATGGTGCAACACATGTTCTTCCACTCTGAATGAAGCAACTGATGAGAAAACATGCTTCCAGATGCTTGGGGATGAGGGGTGGATGTAAAGAATGATCCAGAAAGCCACAAAGAGTTTCAAGGGACTTGACACAGGCACATTGGTGGACTACAGAATTCCAGCCCCCAAAAGTCACATTCCTAAATCACATAGCTTCTCAGACATACTGGCTTTGAGAACATACATGCAACATGAAAGGAACTGAACGGCAACTCACAGGGATTGCTGGAGGTGACATGGATCTTTTCAGGGCCTTTTCCCGGTCCTTTTCCCGGGAAGGCCTCTCTGGTTTGCTGACCTTTGGTTCTATGACAATGGCTTTTAGTTGTTTTAATTTCTCATCTTTTACCCACAGCTTGTTCTGCATCTCAAGCTGCTTGGCTGCCACACGTCGCTCCTATTGGGGAGGAAAAAAATGGAATCAATCCTGCTGCAATGCTTTGAATCCTTCTACATGAATGGTTGACCACCACAGCAGAAAACAAAGCTACACTTACTATATATTTGGTACAAGAACCATGAGGAAAGGTTAATACCCACTTTCCAGTCCAGCCCCAAACTCATTGGTTTAGTGGTGAGCGTAGGAACTCCACTGCCCTGGAGCTAGAGAAGAAAGCAGGAGAAGCTGACAGCGTAGGTTCATACAAATAGTCTGTTTGAACTTTACCCATCAGCCAGCTGTCATGCTCACAGGCAGATTCAAGGACAGCCTATTTTCAAGCCCAGCCAAAAGCTGACCCCGCCCCCAGCCCAGTTTAATGAGGATTTTGAGAAGTGCTCTCCTTCAAAGAAGCCAAAGAACCATCAGGAAACAAAGCCCCTTAGGAAGTCCTGGAGATGAAGAGGGCTCACTCCAGACATTTTTATCTGAAAGGCTACATTAGTAGTGCTGGAAAGTATGCCACCTGAGGACTGAGCCCCTTATCACTTCAGTACACTGCCAGTATATAGCTGGGAGAGTGGATATATTGAGCAGTATGGGAGCCCCAATCCTAACCAGGAAAAGGACAGGCCATTGACTAGGCTATCTGGTGACTAAGATGGGAAAGTTTGGTTTAAGAAAAAAGTAAAACACAAAAATGAACGAAAAAGAGAGAGCATGAGATGATCTAGCAAATCTACATGGGTTTCTTGAACTACCAAGAACCAAACAATTCTGATTTATTCGGTGTAGAAGTCAGAATCAAGAAAGAACTCCTCTCTCAGAGGACTTATTTGGCCCTGTATTAATCCTTTCTTTCCAGGGATAGTTCAAAACTGTACACACCTGTAGGGAATTTCTCCTTGCTACTTTATCAAGTTAAAGAGAAAAGATTTTTACCTCCTTCAAGAAATAGGCTTATGTTTTGAGAAGTTTTACTTCCGACGTGGCACTCAGAGGATGCCATACTTACACATTCTTTTTCCCATTTCGCAGATGTCTCTGTTGCTATACCCTTCAACCGGGTTTCTAGTCTCTGCCTGTCAAAAGTCTGTCGCTCCAGCTTCTGGCTCTTGCTCTCTAGCTCCTGATGCAAGTTGCGCTTCTCTTCTTCATAAATGGCTGTGGTTTTCTCTAATATGTTAACCTGTAAAACAAATTGCAGTTCCCACTCAAATGAACTCATCCACACTCTTTCTAACGAACACCTTTCTTGGCAATGACATGATGACCCTTGATGCGTCATCGCTAAATATAAGCAGCCATCACTGGAGTATAAGAGAACAGCTTCATTTCAAAAGATAACAGCTTCTCAAACACTCACCACTTTACAGTTTGTCAAATTAAGACAAGTTAGCATTTCAGATTTTAATATCTTGATTTAAAAAAAAAAAGGATAGCACAGCTCTCGGAGGACAAGAGCTCTGCTTGGGCAAATGCGGGCACACCTAAAAATCATGTCCAAAACACAAACCTTGTATTCCAGAGTTTTTGCTTTTTTCTCCAGTCGCTCAACTTCCACTTTCTGCCCTTCTATTAATTTGTCTTTTTCAGCAATTTTCAGTTCTGCATTCTTTTCCCTGGAGATAATGTTGGCATCAAGTTCTTGGAGGATTCTTTCTGCAGAAGATACTAGAACAGAAAAAAATATATGAATCTTTCTTTAGGTTGCTATACATTCACCAGAGCTGTCTGGGCCCAGCCTATAGCTGCACCCTTCCAGAAAGAAACACATCTGAAAGGCAAGAATGATGTGGAAGTCTCATGCAACAAAAAACTAACAAACAGGAATATGAGACTACTCCTTGCAATTGATCTCCTATGCATTAAGATACTGCATATACTCAAGTATAAGCCTAGTTTTTCAGCACAATTCTTTTGCTGAAAAAGCACCCCCCTCGGCTTATACTCGGGTCAGTGTCAAAATTAAATGTTCTCCCCTGCAGTGCGGGTGTTCTCCAGACTCGCCCGTTCATCTACAGGCACCTGTAGTCTCTGTGGGTGGTCCGATGATCTGGGTTAAGTACACTGCATTTCCGCTTCCAGGACACTCCCATCCTCTTGTGCATATTCTATGTACCCACCTTCCTCCTCCACCCTCCGTCTCCCTCCATGTTGTTATGCAGCAGTAGAGCAGCAGATAAGCGTAGCATCCGGTATGAGTCCTTCCTCCGCAGGCAGTGAAGTGTGTCTTGCAGCTCAGAAGGGCAGTATCTTCAAAAGCATTTAACCTACTGATGCTTCAATTAATGTAATTTTATTGGTATTTTTTTGAAATTTACCAGTTGCTGCTGCATTTTCCACCCTCAGCTTATACTCGAACCAATAAGTTTACCCATTTTTTGTGGTAAAATTGGGTGGCTCTGCTTATATTCGGGTCCTCTTATGCTCGAGTATATACGATAATTCTTTAAACCAGGCAACAACTCGTCCTCACTATTAATCTGCTGCATTAAGAGCCTCAGCAAGGAAGGAAAATAGCTAGTCTGAAGTGCTCCTATCCCAGGAAGCAAGACACTACTAGCTAATTGTCCATTTCTTTACAAGAAAAATTGGATGAATTAATTCCAAGGGCTTACTGTTTTTGGTGAACTCTTCTGACAGCATCTGGCGCATGCGATGTCGTTTTTCAAGCACTTCTATCAGCCGAGGGAGAGTCTGATCATCGTTGATGTCCAGAAGTTCACAAGAAGGCAGTGGGGGGAAACTGCGTAAAAGCAACTCTGGGGCAGACCCCTCTCCATCTGTAAGACATAAAGCAGACGGCTGAGCTCCCTAGATTTCTATACCAGCTGATCAAAGAAGCTTGGAGGACATAGGAGCAGTAAGGCTTATGCCTCCCACCTCTGCCACCAGTACTGAACTGCTCCCAAGATGCCTATCTGACAAATTTCCAGTAGGAAGACATTTCTCTGAGTGTGGGGCAGCTGTCATTCTGACCCTGTTTATTTGAAGCTGGACAGAACACAGCTGTTCTAACAGTAAATGTGTCTCTACAAATGCAAAGAGACTAAGCATCTATGTGAGGAGACCCCTGCCTATTGCAACTTGAATACAATGTCCCCAATGACTATGGGAAAACAGCCATTGTCTAAAAAGAGTAAAGATGCGTACCTTCCCTTCCTCTACCTCCAAGATCATAAATCTTCCTGACCCTGCCGAAACATATTACTTAGAAAGATAGATGGATGCCCAAAGGAAAACATAGATATATGGGGGGGGGGAGCCTTGAAAGGAATCCCTATTTAAGTTACTCATTTTATGGCCCTTTGTGTGTTCCTTATATAGCTACTGAAGTAAAGGGTAGCTGTGTGCTCCAAACAAAATAAAATCCAAACGCAAAAATAGGCGACACCTTTATAGACAACTAAAAATCATCATACAATACATGGGCTTCTGTGGATTAAAACACTTCATCAGGTTTGTACCCAAAAAGTCCAAACTTAAAAGTCTAAACATACATGGCAAGATGGATTTTGCCAGGAAAGTTGCTCTTGGGTGTTAAGTCCAGCAGTTCTTCTTTCACCAGGCAGGCCTGTTAGATGGATGTCAGGAGCCTGGTTGCTGTGGTTACAGTTTAGGCAGCTGTGGACTGAGTATAAAAACCCAGTTCTCCAAACAAAGAAGCACAGTCCATGTGTGTACCCACACCTCTCCTTCTAGCCTTTGTTTGTTCCTGCTTGGCCAGGAGTAGGGAGGACTTGAGCCCTCATCTGAGAATTGAATACATATTCATCTTTGGTTCTTTAGACTGCCCTTAAACACTTTTCTGTAGTGCATGGGCTATCTCTGTTGATCAGCACAAATAAACACTTTCCTAAACTCTTATGTGCCTCATTACAAGTTCTTAAGAGAAAGGTTCTCCACAAAAGCACACAGATATTTTTGTCCAAACTACACATTATATGGTGGTTGCACTGTTAAGATAGCTGAAGACTCCTTTGAAAATAGATCATTGAGCTATGTTGCTGCAGAGACGTCAGGGGAGAAGTTAACTAGAGCACAGCCGAGTCCCTTCCCTTTGAACAGACACACGCACTGCTGTTTTTATTTACTTACTTTTTTCATATGTTTATGAGTTATCTATCATTCAGCCCAAACAGCTCCCATCCACATCCATAATCTTACAAAGAGTTCTAGCTGGTGATGAAAGGATTAAGGCACACAGCAGGCTACACTGCTGGTTGTGTACAACAGGTCATTCCCAAACAGCCTCTCAAGATTTACCCCCGTCAATGGGTCCTCCTCGGACTTCCAGTTGCCGTGACAGTTCCTCTTTAAATGCTTGGTTCCTATACCGTCGGCCAGAGGCTAACCCACACAGTGGCTTGTCAGCAGGTCTTGCAACTTCTACTTCTTGAGTGATTTCTGCAAATCGCATGACTTGCTACAAAAGAATGATATTTGGGAGCATATGAGAGCTAATATCTACAAACTAAATTAATAGAAACAGGAAAGTTAACACATCCACATGTGCATGCACCCAGACACCAAACATTCCAAAACAGGTAACGAGCTCTATTAAGGCTTCAGAACATTTCATAGTTCCTCTCTTCCACCCAAATACACCCTGCAAGTTACTTCTGCTCTAAGGAAGTTGATTGAGCTTAAGTTTCTAGAAAAAAAAATTAATATCTAAGAGGATTGACACCAAAGCAGCACCATCTGCCAGTTTTAATAAGTTTAAACCCAGGAAGTTAAAATCATATCTCACCAAACTCTCATCATAGTCTTCAGCCTTTGGGTTTACACAGACAATCATACGCACTTTCCCTTCTCCATCAAAGTAATTCTTGAACAGGTGGGTCAGTTTTGAATCTCGGTAAGGAACCATCTAAAGAAAGATTCTGATAAGCACATAATTTTCGCAACTAAAAACTACAGGGAAACATCCATGGTAATGGGTAATCATATACCTTATTGGTTCCATATGTTTGGTTCTCTCGAAGAGCTTCAATGCAGGTTCTTAGTGTCATTAGTGACTGGTTAATATTACCTGTAAGAATGAGTGATGTTAAGTTTGCTGTCCTTCTAAAACAGGAATAGACAACCTCAGAGTGTTGAGAGCCATTTTTTAAGATTTGCTGGGCCAATGGGGTAGGACCAGAGATTGATGCGTGTATTTATTATTAAATAAAAAAACTTGATAAAGTGGCTATATAGTGTAAAAGGAGCTACAATAGGCTTTCATTAACGGAAAAATGAGTTTAACTAAAAACACTGGGCTTCAAAATGAAAAGGCAAATTAAAAAAAAAACATTTAAACTGTGGGTATACAGGACCCAAGCTAGAAGAGCATGAGCAAACCAGTGGAGAAACAGAAGCAACCACTAAGAGAAAAGAGCAGAGTGGTTCCCTCTCTCTCCTCTGTCTCACCAATTTGGCTGAATGGATCCTTGAGAAACTAAATAGCCAGGCAAAGGGTTAGGTCAAAATCTGAAAGGAAAGATGGGGAGTATGCTCCAAGTAGCGTATTTTTCCATATATAACCCAAATTTTCTTTCTTTGCAAGAAAGTGCTTTCCCCTCCACTTTTTGCAAAGAAAATGGAAGGGGAAAGCTTTCTTGCAAGAAAAGTGGAAGGGGAAAGCAGGAATTTTTACCACATCCAACTCTACTTTGCTTTTGGCCTGCTCTAAAGTAGGGCAGGCTTAATCTATTCCCTGCTAATCCACTAGAAAGCAGTGCTCAAGGTGATTTACAGTCTTCAGCACTAAAGTTCAGCCTTGACAGTTAGAAGGCCTCCCAGGAAGAAAAAGTCTCCCAAATCGTCTCTCCTTCTGTTGTGTGCATCAACAAGCTCCAAATCCCAACTATGGCTTGGAAATGAAAGAGAACTAGAAAATTTTCATTTTTTTTAAACATGCGACTGCAAGCACTGGTTGGTTACCTCTGCAGAACTTAATACAGGCTCTTGTTTGGCAGCAATGAGGCACAGCCAGCAGTTAGATGGATGGAAACTTCCCCAGTACAATGGATTCAACAATGTACAGTGGACCCTCGACTTACAGACGGCTCGACTTACAGACTTTTCGAGTTACAGACTTCTCTGGCTGCAAAATTTAGATTCGACTTGCAGCCAGAGAATCGACTTACAGACCAGAAAAAAACCAAAATGGAATAAAAATAGAATAAAAACCACTGGTTATGGGATTAATTGGTTTTCAGTGCATTGTAGGTCAATGGAGATTCGACTTACAGACTTTTCGACTTGCAGCCACCATTCCAATACGGATTAATTCCTTAAGTAGAGGGTCCACTGTATACTACATCTGCCTCTTTCTGATGGGAGTGGCAAGCTATAAGAATCTATGGTGCCCCCCCCAGCTTTTCCAATTGCTCTACCCTTGGGCCCTTCCACTGAACACCTAAAGAAGAGCTCTCAGAACTGTGGTGTTGTGTTCAGCCTCTTCACATCTATAGTACATGAGTGTGATAAAGAAAGAAGAGCAAAGATGCAGCAGCATCTACCTGCTTCTCGAAGTCTGCTTCCTTCAGCTCTTGTTCTGTTGGTTCTCTCACTTCCAGCCAGATCAACCAAAGATAACTGGCTCAATGTTATCAGTTCTTTTTCCTGTCAGGAAAAGGAACTAGTAATTTTAACTAATAAAAAAGCACAGCAGAAAAGGTATAAATTTGCTATATGTAAAAAGCAACAGCTCCTTTCAGATTTTCAAAAACATTTCTACCTAGAAGATATGCAAACAGGATCCTCAAGTTTACATCTGGTGTCCCCAAACAGGTCATGGTTACAGTTCCAAATTACTTTGGGATTACCTCAGCACTACCAGTGAAAAGAGAAGCTGTGCTATTGGCCCCCTCAGTTTTACCTGAAGAACATTATCTCCGTCTACATCCAGTGGTGCCTGAGCCAGTTTAATTAGAAACACGCTATGTGAACGGCTGGATTCACGATTCAGCTGTGTATTAGCAATGCGTCTCTTCTTTTGGCCTGTTAACAGAAGTTTTTTTCTTTAGATCCAGTAGATGTTGGAAATAGAGCAACCAGTTTTATAACATAGCCATATCTGGAAAACTATTTTCAATTCAGCTCACTACATATCCCAGGAAACGCGGAAAAAGAGCAAACCATATAATCAAGAGCTAGGAGCACCTTCCATATGAATAAAGCCTGCCATATCAGACACCTTTTCAGTTCTAGCCATAAAACACAGTTAAGGGAGAGTATGACAGGGCTTTGAAGTTATAAATGAAAGACATTCCCCATTCCAGTCTCTATTCCTAGAAACTAAGTCTAGAGTGAAAGCAATAAAACATAAAATATAAAAATTGTGGAATATACAGCCAGACTATAGTGCCAGAAAATGTCTGAAATGGTGGTAAAATGGAGTGAGACAAATTAACGATAGGTTAATTCACAGCTATTCCACATAGATACCTCGAAGTTCCAGAAGTAGGGGGCTTGGATACCATGTACTGGGGGTCAAAAGATGGAGAGCTGTTGCTTTTGTTGCTTTCCAGAGACGCCTAGCTGACTATAAAAATGAATGAATGAATGAATAAAATGTTGCATTAGCTGAACCTGTCTTACAATCCATTCAGGCTTTCCTGTACACGAGCAGGGACATCATCATTGTTTTTTCACAAAATCTTCTACGCCTATAAAGGCAGCACTATGAGAAGGAAAAAGGAAGTTCTTTACCTCTCCAGAAGACTTCAAATGCTTCCTCTGTAGATTTTACTTCCACTTCAGTGCATCCAGCAACATACATGTTGTGATGCTGATCCTCACGAAGAACTTTGGATTGGGAAAGCCTGCAACAGGAAGGGTTCTGGTGAACCTCTTACCAAGAACATACTTATTGCTAGTAAGGGGAAGTAAAACTAGAGACACCGTAAGCTCAACTATGGTACAAGCTACCAGCCAGTATTAGCTTATTCAAACAATCAAGGGGAAAAGAAGGAATGACAAACCACTGAGTTTTATGTAGGGAAGCATTTACTTTGACACATGCAAACTATCAAGGATAAAGTTCTAGTTAAGCAGAAAGGAAAGCAAGAGGTGCTAGCAGCTTCTCTAGTTAGAAAGCAGCCATCTTGATGCTGTAAGAAGGAAATAGTCTGTGCACCTACAAAAAGTCAGCGTTCCGCATTGGAGTGCCACAGCTGTTCCACCTATCAAAGAAATATAATTGAAGTGTTACAGGCCCTTCATAATCACTTTCCTTACTGCTTCATATGAAACTGAAAAGCACTTTTCAAGAAACATTACGATAAGGACAGCTACTGTGGGAAGATATTGTCACCATGTTAAGTGACTGGAAAACTGTCAATTAGCAAACAAGACTTTTAGTTCCAACGATAGGGAGTGTGAGCCTTAGAGATCACGTTGAACAATATTTCTGCACAGATGTTGGAGACAGATACCTCAAACATCTAACAGAGAATGAAGAGTGTATGTGAAAGCTACAGTTTGACCCCTGCCTAAACTGACTTAATTAATACATCTGTATGCAAAATATTCCTTCATGGCTTTTTACTGCTATATTATTTCTCAGCTTCATGTCAAACAGATGTCCTTAAAGCAAATACAAACAAATTTGTTCCTAAAGCAACAAGCAGCCCACCTAGGAACTATTCCCCATCTTACTTTCTGGCACCCAAACCACTAGGATCACAATTCTGTCACTCCACATTTGTCATTTATCACTTGGTTGGTTGCCAATGATCCATGTTAAACAAGGTTTACTCACTTTGCTTTGGTAGGTTCAAAGGGTGTTTCATCTAAAAGGTCATAGATGTAGTTGTTATAAATTTCAACATAAGAGACAAACACACTGTAGACATTATCTTCCTCAATCTCTTCTACCTTGCAGTTGTCTTGCAGATTAATCATATCAGCAATTTCAGGGTCGATCTGGCGTTTGCTAAAAATGAAGAGAATGACAAGCTGAGATTTTTGGTTATTCATCCGACAAAGCATGTTTGACAGTTCTGACAGACTAGAGTGTCTCAGTTTTCCACAACTACTCACCTGTTGGATGGAGTTTTTGGATATGGTAATGCTTCTCTCTTCTGACGTTCAAGTAAAGCGTCAACCTCACACTGTACCTCTACTCCATTTTTATCATCAAGCTTAAAAACCTGAGAGTGGGGATTACAGAAAATAAGGGGAGACAAGATGTATGGCACCATAGCAACCTGAAACATCAGTATGCAAGATGGGAATCTCTTGATTTCTCTCACAGGATGGATGGGTACAATAGACAACCATGGATTACATAGGACTGGCAGAAATAATCTCCAGAGGTCTGGGGGTACATATGTACACCCTAGGAGGGCCATACCTGCTCCATAAGCCTTTCCCAATTTTTTTTTACACAAATGGGGAGTTTACTAAAAGTTTGTCTGCATCTCTAGAAATCTTTTTTTTAAAAAAATGTGAGCATGGGGGACCTCAAAACCGCAAAATTGTCACCCTGCCACCTAGAGGACCTAAGAGAATTTTGAGTTACACATCTTTTTTTAAAAAAAGGTAAAGTTGGAAGGATACAGCAGAGCCATATGTTGCTACCTCCTGCTCTGAACTATGAGGGCAAATTCTCTAGACTATCAAGGAAAATAGAAAGCATAAACCTTAGAAAGCTAAGCAAATAGTAAGTCTAGAAATATCGTTGTGAGCAACATTCTCTCTAATTTTCAATCTCACTGGGTGGTTCTCTGACCCCACGCAGGATTCTTTCATTAGCAGAACAAAAGGGGCTGGAAACTATTGCTGTAGGTGCATGGAGGAGGAATGCTGTGCACGTTGATTATAAGACATCCCTCTTGTTCCTAAGTGCTCCCTCCTGCCTAACATCAATGCATTTAAGCACAACACTTATCTACTAGTTATGTTAATAACATATTTGTGAGTTTTGAACTTGCCACTACTGGACAGATACCAAGACTTGATAGAAGGCTACTTACATATCGTTTGGCTTGAAAAGGGCCTATGCTGTTGAAAATCATGTCTAAACAGCGTGGAAGCAGCCCACCATCACCAGGAGACCCTGTCATCGTATGGGTTTTCCCACTCCCTGTGACACCATATGTAAAAAGGAGACCTGTGGAATAAACATACAGAAGTATTGTCAGAATATAACATGAAACATTAACGTATACTATTTTTCTTCAGGAATAGAGCTGTTCTATTTAACACAAGCTTTCTAACAATACCTCCTAAATAGCATTTACCAGTGATCTTTTTTGCAGTTAAAGCAATAGCATCAGCATGTCCAAAGAAAGCAAATACAAAATTAACTCACATGTCTAAAATATAATACATAGGATGTCTTGTTTGTTTTTATACTTTAAGACACCTTGGGTTTTTCTGAAAAAAGCAGGTTATATCTATTCTAAATAAATAAAGAATCCCTACTGTACAGATTCATTCCAATGGGGGAGGGGAAACATTTCCATGAGGCTAAGGGAAAGGTCTTAGAGGTTGGGAGTTCAATTTCCCAGTGTGCCGCCTGCAAGCAGAACCAGCCTGGGTGGTCATGGGCAAGCTGCAGTCCCAGGGTGTCCCCAGGAGGGAATAGTAAACTGCCTTCTGAGGATTCTCTAACTGGAAAACTCTGAAAAAGGGTTGCCGTAAGGCAGAATTGACTTAATCAATAATAATAATAATTATTATTATTATTCAAAAACACCAGGCAGTCAAAATTATAAAAACATTGATATTATATAACGAATGCAAGTTTTAACCCAAAAACCTAAGTGTTAATATCAGCACAGTATATATGCTGTTCCTAATACTGATTTTTTTTGTAACTGATGGATGTCATTTTTGAGATCTGCAACTGCTTAGTACTATATGAAATTTCTTTATATTGTTCCCAAAGCCCCTATAACTACAGGGACCACTGAAGTGTTTTTTTTCCCAGAGGCAAGATGTTTCGATTGCCAGGTCTCTGTACTCCTTTAGTTTCTCCAATTTTTTATTTTCAACTCTGGCATCCCTTGAAATTGCAATGTCAATTGCAATTTTTACAGCTCCAGAATATTCTGAGGCCTCTGCACATGCACAGACTTAACCCATTAGTGTGCATTCACAGAGGCCACAAAGAAGGTCTTGACGTTGCCATCTTCTGACATCTTCTCTATCTGAAGACTAATTGATGGATCGATTCATCGAAGAACATTCGTTAACCTTGAGAATTACTAATCAAAACATATCACCATTTTTTTATTTGTCCCCATCTCTAGAGTTAACAAATAACCCCTAACCAATGGAGGATACAGGAAAGCAGGCAGTTTCACATTACATTGATGTGCCTGGCATATTGCTGCTAATTAAAGAGCTTCTTTTTTGATTACAGAGCATATGCAACTTATGCATAATGATATGAAGGTGCATGCACCCTGAAATTAAAGAGAGAGAAACAGCATCAATCTGTTGCTATTGGAGAAATCACTCCCACGGGGCAGTGGGGTTACAAATCAGGATTCTGGCTGACATTACAAAACAGTTACAGATTATATTTTTAAACTTAGAGCAATGCAGCTTAAGTGTACGCTTCTCAAGATACCAAGCACGAACATACTTCAATACAAATTTACTTGTAGGTATTTTCATTACTACGTTATTTGTGCTTGAGTTCCTACTCAAATGTGTGTCCAATCAGGATAGAATAAAGTAGATCATATCTAGATGCATATAGCAGGAAGTGCGCACTTCTTAGTTCCAAATCAACTACATCCTATAGTCACAGCATACCATTTTTTCCACGGATAAGGTCTTCCACCAGAGGTTTTGCAACTGCTTCAAACACATTTTTCTGAGTAACACTGGCACCAAGGACTTCTTTAAATGAATATTGCACCTGAAGAGAAAATCAAACAATAAGACAACAGAAATTTTGCAGCTGTTCCCATACTGCATAGTGCCATGATGTTATTCGATGAAATCCTATGCATTTCATTTCCATATATTAACTTCCTCCAGTTAGTTCAGTCTGATACTCTAAAATGCCAGACACCATAAATAAAAAATTTAGTAGATCTTATTGTTTCATAGAGTTCTGCATCTACAGTTTCCAGTTGAAAGAGAACTGTTAAAACTAGTGCATTTCCTTTTCCTAACATTTTTCATGTGTGTCCTCTGCCTTAGTGGTGTTCACTGTTCTGAGGATCAAGGATTCCTACTTTAAGAATGAACATTTTTTTGCTTCTATTTCTTTGGGCCAGATTATCTGGTTTTATGGTCATAATATGTGAAGTGTGGACCCTTCAAAAGAACTGAATAAGGGATATGAGAAGACACAGGTACCCTGATAGACTTCACATTCCGCTGCAGAACTCATTGTCACAGATACCAGCTTAGATGGTAATAAACATGTATGAAGGCAATGGCTCCACAACACAATAGCTATATAAGCCACCATCAATATGAAAAGCCTCTAAGTTACTAGGAAAACAGGAGACCACAATGGTGAAAGACAGATTCCATTATGTGTTTTGTGTACATAAGTATTTTGTAGAGCATTGCAAGACAGATTCCATTATGTGTTAAGTGTTGTGTACATAAGTATTTTGTAGAGCATTGTTGTTTATGCTGATATATGTATGTATGTTGGGTTACATGCATGGGAAAAGTGCTGGAGTGGTTGACAGATGGATGTTGGAATGCTCAAGTGTGGTCTTGTGTGCTGACTGGCTGATCAAAATGAACAGGGAATAAGGTATAAGAGTGGCACTTGGTTTTGAGTCAGGTTCTGAGACAGTTTGGGTTTGTGTACTAAAGAGTGCTCTGTGTAGTGTGATGTATGAGTGAAGAAATATAAAGTTGAAAGTTTTTTTGCTCCTGTTTATTTAGTCAGAGAATCTCTTCTCCCCATCTATTTGTTTAAAAATAGATTTCTTTTGTCCAAAATACACTCTTCTTCTAATTTTTAAAATTAATTTTATTAAGTTTTACATAGCAGTTGAATGAGCCATTACACCCACATGCATCCTCAAATACCCAGAGAACTTTGAAGGTGGGTATCCCTGGTAAAACACCAGAACCAGCAGCACAGATGTAAAGGTGCTGGGTGTGGGATGGCTGTGCAGTGGGTGACAAGCAGACAGTGTAAATCTCACTGATGTGCTGCAGTGAGTAGGGATGTCTCTCTGGGTTGTTGCCCCCTCATGTCTTGTTTGTGGGCTTCCTGTTGGCACTTAACTAGCCACTGTTTCAGACAGGATGTTAAGACTATAGTAGTGAGGCCTTTGGACTAACCCATCATGCTTCTATCACGTTCTTGACAGTACATTGGTCCCACAAAACTTAATTTTTAAAGAAAATTATGGATCTTTGAACATTTCATAGCTCTCTTTCCCCACCAACGCTGTGCCTTGTGGTTTCACAAGAAAAGAGCTCCTAGAAAAACTTACAGAATTAAATAAGCATTCAGATCATTAGAACTACTCCCTCATCTTGTGTTCTGGCAACATTTTACCAAGTATTACCTCTCTGTACTCCCCAGTGCGACAGATTCTATATCCCTCAGGGGGGTGAACCTGGACCGTTCTGCTATTGATCACCTCGATGCAGCACTCCTGGTCAGGCACGCTGTCTGGGCGAATCCGGCAGTACACCTAGGGAAGGAAAGCCCCTTTATCAAAACATATCAGGATATGTACATAAGTCTTTTTCAGCCTCATAGGTGAAAAGGAATGTTCTTGTCTCCTGTTCAAAGACAAGTCTGTACTTGTTAAAAGTGAAATGGGTTTCTAAATACCTATTTTTGGCACAGAAAAAACTCATACTATTAAAATGTAAAAATTCTTGATAAAAAATCCATGCATAATTCTCTCTGCTACAATAGAATAAGGTGCCACTTAAAGTTCTTAGGCTGCAAAACTGGGAAAGGATCTCTGCCTGAAATCTTGGGAAAATCATTTTTATTGTCCCCCACATCCAGCCTTTCTGTTCAGTGTTAGAAGAGCTAGCCGTGTTCAGAGAAAGAGAGAAATCATGGGAAAAATATTTATTACATTACTATACTGCACCTATTAGTACTAGTCAATAGTACACTGCACCTTTTAGTGTTGGGTAGCCTGCATCCAAAGTAGCATAGACATACTATAAATCTCAAATAATATTCTAAAAATTAAACCACACACACAAAGCAACCCGAGTGGCGTTTTTAAACAGATTGTTGCACCTTACTGCTTTGAATGTGTTTTGGTGTTGCTCATGTTTTTTGTATAATACTGGTTTGGTCTTTTTAAGTACGTGTATACTCGTTTTTAGCTTTAATTGTTGTCTTTTAATGATGTAATCCACCTTGGGTCCTTCTAAGGAGAAAGGCAAGGTAATAAATAGATAAATAAAGTAAACAAATAAAGGCAAACAGGAGTCATCAAGACTGTCAATCCATGAGACATTTATATTGTAAGTCCTTAGTTTTTGTTCTTATTATGCTATACATTAAACATCCAGTCCTGTAGTAAAGTAACCACCCACCTCTACAGGATCCTTTAAGCTGCTGCTGAATGCCTTCTTTGGCAGTTGCTTTCGAGGGGTCTTGGTTTTACTGGAAATGAAAAAGCAGCAAGTCAGTTGCCTGGTTCAGAACATCAGAGCTGTGGACAAGCCACTAGTCCCTTTGTTTTATTTCTGTTTGAGGTATTCTTTTAAAATGTGCCTGAGAGTCCTTTTCTTCTCAACTGCTTTACCCATCCTTTATAACAACAACTTTGCAGGAGAAGGGCCTTGACTACCTCAGGTCTGACATAGAAAACCACCTTTAGAGATACTTGGGGAGCCTTTATTGACTAAGTATTAATGAATTAAAGGGATTCTCAAAAAGAATCAACACAGTTTTTAGAAGGAGGAGGCATCCTAAATGAAAACAAAGGCAGTATCTTCAAAAGGTCCCAGTGCAGGGAGGCACTTCGTGTATCTATGCATGTATGGCGGCGCTTCTTAAAAAAAAAAAAGGTAGCTTTATAATTTTTTGAGCACTTTAGAGTCGTTTTTTTTTATTTAAAAAAAACATATTTTAAAAAAGAGACAAGTTATCACCGCCACCCAGGGCAGATGGGAGAAGGTAAGTAGTAGTCCAGATAGGCGGGGTATAAATCATTTCTTCAAAAAAATTGGTAGCTTTATAATTTTTGAGCACTTTAGAGTCGTTTTTTTAAAAAAATAATATTTTAAAAAAGAGACTCGTTATCACCGCCACTCAGGGCAGATGGGAGAAGGTAATGAAATGTTCCGAGTCGAACAGCTTTCACGGGGTGCCTCAGGCCGCGGCTGACGAAGCCTCGCTCGGTCGGCTCCGGGTTCCCTCAGGCGCCTGAGGGACGGAGGGGATTCGGGGCGGGAAAGGGGTCCCTGAGGTAACCCGCCTCCTCTCCCTAACCCCTGCCCGGGTCCTTGGCCCCCTCGGCGACTCACCCCGCCGCCTTCATGCTGCCTAACCGGTCCGCTTCCGCCCCTTTTCCCTCAGCGGCCGCTTCAGTGCCTCAGCTTCGCGGCCAACGGTCGGATTTTTCAACCGTCCCTCGCCTGCTCTCGCGCCACCCGCTTTCATGCGAATCTAGCCAATCAGGAGGCAGAAAAGGAAGGGAAGGGGTGGGCCGGAAGACCAAGAGCGCCCTCTGGAGGCTCTCTCCTTGCCCGCCACGGCGCGGCGGCTGAGAAGGGAGGAGGGAAGCGGCGCCGTCGCCGTAGCAACGGGAAGCCCAAAAGCTTGTCCTTCCCCAGTCACCGCCCCCGAGAGCGCCCCCTGGAGGCCGTCCTTTCCTTGGAAGGCGCGCGGTCCTCCGTCATAGAAGCGCAGGCATGCGGGGCCGGAGAGGGGAGGAGGGAAATGGCGCCCCGCTGTCGCCATGGTAACGGGAAGCCCAAGGAGCTTTTGAGAAAGGATGCCGGCCCAAGGCGGGAGAAGAGAGATGGACGCTTTGCCTTTTTAATCTCCTCCCGTCCTTACAAAGCTCGGTCATTGCAGAAACTGCGCTGTCGGGTGGGGTGTGGAGCCCGGTAAAACCCGCTGCCAGAGAAACGACGTTACCTTATAGGAACTTGAAATAGGAACTCGTTCTGTTTGGCATACGTTTCTATGGACTTCAGTCCCCCTGTTTGTCTGATTGTGGAAGTGACACGCCATGGATCTGAAGAAAATGGCTGCAGCTCACGGAAGCTTGCATCAATATTTTATTTTATTTCATTTTATTGACCTTTAAGGCAGGACACGGCTCTTTGTTCCGAGCAGACAGAATTATAGTATAAAGTATCAAAAACAACTCGTGTCACACTAATTTTACCTTCCCATCTTTTTTGTTGCATGTCGAAATGGCAGGATAGCTCAATCAAGTTGGAGTACAAGGAGTTTGATTCTCCAGTGCGTGTGCAAATGCACGCACGCGCGCGCGCGCACACACACACATTTTTACTAGTGAATGGCAAACCCCATAGAAACAATTTACACGGACAGAGGAGTCCGTGGTTTTGCCAAAAACATGTTGAAATGGCAGGATAGCTCAATCAAATTGGAGTGCAAGGAGTTTGATTTTCCAGTGCATGTGCACAAATTTTTACTAGTGAGTGGCAAACCCCATAGACACAATTTTTTTACTAGTGAATGGCAAACCCCATAGAAACAATTTACACGGACAGAGGAGTCCGTGGTTTTGCCAAAATGATTGAAAATACATCAATTTCACAAGCAATGTAAAATAAACTACAGTCAGTGGTTTTGCCAAAATGACTGAAAATACACCAATTTCACAAGCAATGTAAAATAAACTACAATACCCTCTTACAGCTGAGTAAAATAACTTGCTTTCCAACAGAAAAACATGCTTCCCAGGTAAAAAAATAAAATAAAATCCACACTTCCATGGGTTATGTGTATTCACCTTTTTAAAAAATGATTCCAAACATGCTAAACCCAATTCAAATATAGTTCCCCGCTGCATGTAACTGCACATTTATCCATGTTTGCTGCATCCCTTTGAGGCTTTTATCCCACCCTTTATATGTTATATATGGGATTCCCTCATATCCACAGTTTCAGGCATCCATGGTACAAGGTGGAATTGATCTCCCGTGGATATGGGGGCCCTACTGTAATGGATTTTTAAAAGATTTTTTAAAAATTATTTTTAAACATGTATACCTGGTCTTTTCTATAGAGGGCCTTTTCTAGAGAGGCTCATCACAACCAAAACAATGAAAAATGCCAAATAAGCAGCCTAAAGCAATTACTAATCATATGGCCAGAATAATAAAATTTTAGCTTTGCATCAGACAGAAAAGGAAATGTGGAGTGCAGTGGAGATTTTTGATTAAGATATTCCATAACCATCACCCTTGAGAAGCCCTTAGATTGGATTAACACGTACCACTTCTAGATTTAAAAGCTTTAAATTTTCTTAGATGGTTCTCTTGTTCCTTAAAGTGGAGAGGAATCTCTTAGGGTCCAGAATTTATTCTTTTGTGATATTGTATGCAATCTCTGAGAAGACTTTACCCTATCAATTCTACCAAAGAGCTACCAAAGCCCAGGCAAATCCTTCAAAGTCCAAGGGTCTACCTCCTGTCAAATAAAATAAAATATAGATTCTGGTTTCATTGGTATATTCTTATATCCCTCCATGTGTAAAGAGACATTTTAGCAGAGACATTTGTTCAAAGACTGTGATATTCCAGTCCTTTTCAGAAGCAGGAAACGGTCACTCTTCACGCACCTATTTGTGAGATATTTCAAAACCCTTTGATTTTCTTATCGTCCCCTCCCCATGTTTATAGAATCATAGGATGGAGAGTAGAGATTATATGCTATTTGGCTCCCATCTATGCCTGTCCTTGTCATTATCCCCATCTCATCGCTTTAGACTGTGTGATTTGAAAGCATGTGAAACCTTCAGCCTTTCATATAAGGTGTTTCCTCAAAAATAAGACAGGGTCTTATATTAATTATTGCTCCAAAAACTCATTAGGACTTATTTTCAGGGAATGTTTTATTCTTTTCATGTACAACAATCCACATGTATTCAAATACAATAATGTCAACTTCTTCTGATTGCTGTACAATGATAGAGGGTGCTGTTTCCCTTAACTAGGGCTTATTTTGGGGGTAGGGCTTATATTACGGGCATCCTGAAAAATCATACTAGGTCTTATGTCCAGGTTAGGTCTTATTTTGGGGAAAACAGGGTATATTGGACTTCTATTCCTCAAACTCTTAGACAACATGGGCTGTGATCAAGAATTCTGGGAGTTGTAGTCCAAAACATCTTGAGGGACAAAAGCTGAGAACCCCAATTTAAAATGTTGTACATATTTATGTGAATTTTTAAACAAACTGACATTAAACTTGTGTTCCCACTTTCTACGAGATCTCTTCACAAATGGGAGATCAACCCAGAGGAACTGGTTCTGGTGAAGCAAAGGTACGGCATATCAGTCGGTTTTGTTTTTAAAATGTTAGCTTCTGAATTAAAGTATTATATTAGGAAAATATGAGATTGGGGCCTTTCTGTAGGTGTTTTTGCTTTAATATATAAAGGATGTAGTTGCAATGGAGGAAGGGAAAAGATCCATTGATTTACTGATGGCAGCATATACAGCAATTAGTCACCGGTGGAAGAGATGCTCCTAAAAATCAATGGTTGGTATACAGGGGTCTGTGAGGTGACCCAAAAGAAAATGAAGAATGAGAGAAGGGTGGTTAGAGAACAATTGATTCATGCAGAAGCTGAGTTGCCTCTTCTTTTACTGGGACGAGAAAAGTCCAGAACTCTGCTGCAGAGACCTGATATTTACCTTGAGAGCATCAACCTCTTCAAGGCAAAGGGGAGTCACTCACTGAAGCCTTTTTGTTCAGAGAGGCCATGGTTTAAGAGGCATGGAAGATGCGAGAACTACCTCTAAACCCCATCCATCACAAGGACATTTCCCCCTTTCTACTCTGGGCCCTTGCATGGCCTTTTTCTTTAGAATCAGGCGCTTTGTTACCCGTTTTGGCTGGATTCTCCACCCGTCTTCCTTCCGCCATCTCCCTCACCCAATGTACAAGATGGTGCTGGAGGGCTGGCGTTTTTGCGTTTCTCTTGCAGGCTTCTGTCTCGCCCATCATGACATTTCCTCTGCCTGCCCTGCATTTTGTCATTTACTGCTTCGTTCGTTCCTGGCTGTGCGCAAGCCCTACTGACCTAGCAGGGAAGTAAAAAAAGGGGGGGAACACGACAGGATCCCAATGATAATCTCAATGAAGATGAAGAGATAAGTTGAACAAGGTCTCTCCTCACCTGCTAATTTTCCTGTCAGACCAGTGTTTAATTAGCCCTTGTCTCCTGGCTATTAAGCCACAAATGAGGTCTCGGTATCACCCACTGCTGCGTCGTCATGGCAACTTCCATTTTAACTCTCCCTGGGAGTCTATTTCCCATGTACTTACAGGGGAAATCATCTCAATTGCTATTAAATATAATAGTCCTTGATGTCAGAAAGTGGCTGGAAGAGCATGGGGAAGGGTATCAGAGAAAAGCAGGGCAGGAGGTAGGATCTCTGAACCATCCTGTCACTCAACCTCATCTTAACCCATGGGGTAAAACTCTCCAGCACATGGTGTTCACCGGGATTTTCCCTCCGGAAAAGCGTTTCTGGGCTTAGGAAAACAGTGGCCCCTTGTGGTCATCGTCGTGCAAAAAAATCCACTAGTCTGATCCATCTTTTTATGACTACATTTCTGAAGAGCACTCAAAAGTGGTTTGCTATCCCCTTCTTCGGGGGGGTGGGAGCTGGGACTGTGGGGCATCCGAAGCCACAACGGCTGGCTGTTCTCCTGGAACGCCCAGAGAGGAACCGAGCTCCCAACCAGTTAACCCAACTCACTGAGCCATCCAGCTGCATTTGTCCCGTGTAAAACGAAGCTGTGTTGGCTGAGGGTCAGAGCAGATGTTTTTGTGGGCATTAGATGCGTTATAAACTCTGTTTTATCTTTAAGGTGACATGAGACTTTTATTTTTTTACTAACTCTGTGATATGTGTGTGTGTGTGTGTGTGTGTGTGTGTGTGTGTGTGTGTGTGTGTGAGAGAGAGAGAGAGAGAGAGAGAGAGAGAGAGAGAGAGATACAGCTGTTTGATAGCTCTAATTGGAATTTCCCAGTATAATCCTTTCAACTGCAAATCTAATTTAGGAGCTCTGACCCTGCTTTTTGAAGAGGAGCAAGTGTGTTTATAGGGTTCAGGAAATCATGTCAATTGCATGTTAAGAAAGAAATGGTATGTGTACAAACCATTCAAAGAGAAAAGGTGAAACTGACAAGGGTTTCATTGCTTGCACTGGCACCTCATACATTAGGACGCCCATATTTGGTTCCAAGTCTTCCCCCCACCCTACCGGCAGATGCTGAAAAACATGGATTATAGCAGTGGTCCCCAACCTTGGGCCTCCAGATGATCTTGGACTGCAACTCCCAAAAGCTTTCATCACCACCTCTGCTTGCCAGGAATTCGGGAGTTGAAGTCCAAGAACATCAAGGCCCAAGGTTGGGGACCACTGGATTATAGCAAGCACTATTTTTCTAGTGAATGCGATAAATAGCATGGTCTCTGGCTGCCTCTAGTGCCTAGTTTTGGTAAATTCATCTTTTGAGATACTGTATATATTTCTAAGATTTTTCTTTTAACATTTTAAGTATTTTCAGACCATGGATAGGTGAATCAGTGGCTGAGGATAAGGGGGTTCTACTATAGCTGCAAATTACAAAGCAAGGCAAATTAATGACACTCGTGTTAGTTTCGATTTATTCTGCTCCCACCATTCAGTTGTAGTGGCAAGTGTGCAGAAATGCTTAATTAAAAAGGGGGCGGGCAGGTGATTTGTCCCCCTGCCCCTCTTGGCTCAGGGGATAAGTTACTTTTCTTCAGAGCACTGCTGGTAGCACTGGCCAGCAGTCTATATATGGAAGGCAGGTATGCGTCTCTTGTGTATTCTGTTGCTTCCTCCCTTCCCAGCAGGCAGGCAGCATTCCATGGCCACCGACCATTCCGCTTTAGATTTTTTCCACCTTTTTGATTTTTTTAAAAAAACATTATTTTGTGCATTTAATAATCATGCGCCATCAACTCAATTCTAACTTATGATGACCCTTTCCAGGGTTTTGCAAGTAGAGAGTACTCAGAAGTGGTTTACCGTTCCGTTCCTCTAGGGGGAGCCGTGGAACTGTGCAGCTGGCCCAAGGCTACATAGGCTGGCTCTTCTCCCAGGAGGCCCAGTGGGGAATTGAACTCCCAACCTCTGGTTCTATAACTAGATAACTAAATCATTGAGCTAT